AAAAAAAAATGAATGATGCCGGGATTGAACCCGGGCCGCCGGCGTGCCAGTCGAGCACGTTACCATTAAGACAACGCGCTCATTCTAATAATCTAATTTTATTAGTAGTATATCTTCAATATATTGAATAATTTTTTTCGTTTAAAATTATGCAAGATGTGGCTTCCCCCTTCCGCTCGTTCTGCAGTCGACTAAATTTGAGTAAAACAAATAAAAAACAAAAAGCATTCATACCGCAGAAAATAAAATTCACCCCGTCGACTTGATGGACACCCCAGCATTGCAATAAAAACTTGGTTAATAAAAAAAAAACACCCCACCATTACGTGTGGCGCCCTCCACCCTTGCTCTGCAGCCTCTACTTTAGTTAATCCGCTCTGCATATACATCCCCCAGTAATTTCCAATGTATTGAGAGAAATTTTGTATTCAAAAAGTTACACTGATTATTAAAAAATTCAGTGGAGAAATAATTGTCTGAGTGAAGCTGTACAATCAACATGTCGAATCATTCATTGATAATTAAATCCGGCTTTTTGCGGGCGCCATTAGCCAACGGTATTGGACGTTACATCGGACAATTACAGCGAATAACAATCAAATTCTGCAAACATTCGGGGAGCAGTCGTGGATTGAGGTGAGTTATCGTATAAATCAATTGTTTCCCATAATTATTTTATTCGGTAGATGTAATTCCTCCGTGAGATTGAACCTTAACCTCACATTGAATTCGATGGCTGTAGGGATTTTTTAGAAAATGATCTCCTCGATTTTGCCAAAGAAAATCCGGGAGTTGTGGTGTATGTCAAACCAAGAAGACATCGAACCCCTGTCCTGGTGGCAGAATATCGTGAGTTAAAATCCCTTTTAATATGGAATAATATTCAGGAGTAAGAAAAAAAAATTCAGGGGTTTTTTATTATTCATGTTGGATTTGGATTTTAGTTAATGGAGAGAGACACTGGTTGCACGTAAAGGACTTTCCAAAGGAAGATATTATCAAGTGGATTGAACTTCTGAGAACACAATCCAAGGATGGATCTCAGCTGAGATTACGAAAGATGTTCCATACTGAATTCCCGACCATTCAAGGAGCATGGACTCCCTACACCTTCAGAAATCCCATGTGGAATGTCACGAAATTCCCAGACGTGAGTTAATAATCATAATTGAATTACCCCTTTAGTAATTTAAAATATCAAACTCTCAATCCTCTTCATAACTCCATGACTACAATTCCAGAAACAGCAGATGCGACCAATTTACTGTTCTCCATCCCTTTCGATGATAAATTAATTACATAATTATGAAATTCCCATTGAAATTTAATTAATTCAATTTATTTTACAGAGTACCATTGGTAATTTGGTACCCCGTGAGCAGACAGCAACGCAGAAATTATTAGAAATCTTCAAAGCCCAGAAAGCGCAAAAAGTAGCCCAGCTCGAGGGAAAAAATTTGTCATCTTGAGATAAATAATACTGTACATAGGATCATAAAGAAAACGTGCATTAATCCAAATATATAATACAAACGTTTATTTCAACATTATCTTTCCCGTTAGAAAACATATTAGCAAGATCAGTAATCACCAAGTTTCATCGTTTCATATATTCAGGCTTACAATTTCTTCACGATTTAATCGGTATGAATAAATTTTCAGATGTAATGAGAGTATTTCTAATAAAAATGAACAGGATATGAGAATTTTATGGTAAATGAAAATGTTTCGTGTAAATTTTTTTTTTATTTACCGAGGGCTGTTTGCACTAGAGTCGATTGCAATGATTTCTCAAGTATCAAGTACAATGCCAACAGATGACAAACGTAATGAGTCAAATAGTACTAGATAATAAACAAAATTATTAATGACTAGGTGAACAATTTGCGCCTAACGCATGCATTGAAGAATTGCCATTCGCATGCATTTTATTGAAAATATGAATTAACTAATGAATGCCATGTTTATTTGTCAAGTTAAAAATTACAAAAATATCAGACAATTACTTGAAACGTGTAAAATATTATTCTTTTTATAAAAATACTTCCGTTAACAAATACTTGACAAATAAACATTATTAATGGAGAATTATTACTTTCATGAATCTCTTTGATTAATTTTTAACCCACAATCATTCAGGCAAAATGAAATATATTGTCAGAAAAAAATCGATAACGGGAAATGAAGTGATAAAACTGCTATTTCTATTGTATTTTTTGTATAATTTGTTCTGTTGAAGCACCAGGCCAGATTTATTTTCAACTGAAGCGTCTAATGCAAATATAAATTAGCAAGACTAATTATCGATGGCAGTAATGAGTGAATAATGAAAGAAAAAATATCGATTTCATGATGTTTTCTCGTATAAGATTCACGAAAAAGCCTGAAACACATCAGGCGATGATGAGGTCAATAGTGAAGTGGTGCACGTTAATTTCCATTCATGGAATAATTAATTACCCCGTTAATAGTCTCACGTGAATTACTACGCTGTACCACTTCACCATTGGTTTTCATTCTCACGTTCATTCCAACTCTTAAAATCCAAACAAATCTCAATTATTTCACTACGAATCCCTAAAGATTCACCACCCAACCAATGATTCGTATAAGGGCCTTTGAAGAATATTTTTTTCATCATTTGAAATATAAAAGTAGCAAAATATACATAGATAATTTTTGGTTCGGCGGTAACAAAAAAATCAGGAGAAAATTAGTTAAATCTCATAATTTCTATGAAAAAAAAAATATCTTCAATTTATCAATACAGCCACGCCCACTGCTATTCAACCTATTTATCAAAAATTGTCTAGGGATAAATTATTTGACATCAGTAAAACAATTTATCAATTACGGGGCAATAAATTAATTATGTGAATGGTTCATCACCAAACCTGCAAATGATAACGTTCGGGTCTCGTTTACCAAGTGTATATCATTTTGTTTTTTAAACTCTAGTTAGCCCCGATGAATCACTCACGAATTGACTCGATTAATATGAGCCTTGCGCACAGTTTATCCAATATTTTTGGATCATTTGGTTATTGTAAAAGTTCGTGACTAGGCAGTGAATGTCATCTATTCCACCTTCAGTCGTTTACTGAATTCTTCCTGTTGTTTTTCTCTCCATTCCTTCTTCGGTTTCATCCTCTTCAACTGACCGTCCCTGAAAAAAAAATTACTCAATATTATTTGCATTATTATGTAAATGAAAAATAATGGGAAAAAGCGAGAGGTTGAGATGACACGAACCACTGGAGATCCACAAGGCCGCCTTGTCTCGCAATAACAGACTTTACACGATTTGCAAAATCGATGGCACTCTCACCCTCACCCCTGTACATCGGTGGAAGATACCACACGTCACAAACTATCGCCCAACTAGACATCATCATGTAGAGATATTGGAGCATTGAGTATCTACTGCTATTCCAGAAAGCATCACCGAATCTTGGATCATACTGTAGCGAGAAGATAATTAATTCCATCACTTGTAATTTGTATAAAATTGTCTCAAAATCACAATATTCCATACCTTAATTGCCACTGGGTAAATAACACCCCCAACTTCGAAGCTGCCCTTCTTAAATTGCATGACTGACGTATTATTGATGCAAGTACCTTCCGGAAATATCAAAATCGGAGGATTCGAAGGATCTGATATATGTTCTTTCAACCTGCAAGCGAGAGAATCCATTATTAAAAATAATTGCTGATAGAAAGAGGGGAAATGGGCTGAGGGTGAAACCTTTTGGTAACAGCTTCTCTGTCTTTCACCTCGGATCGCTCAAACCAGATGTGAGGAGAAGCACGTGCCAATGCTCGCTGTAGAATCCCTAAAAATCCCCCATGTCTCTGTCCAATCTGTGGATTCGATGTTTAAAAGATTTTAATTACTCTCTCAAAATTCTACTCATCCAGACAAAAAATTCCAGTGACGGCTTAATTACCGTCAATATTCCAGCGGATACCACTGTCTCCATTATAAATATTGATACAATAAAAAAAGAGTAAATCTGGGTTTTTGGCGGAATTCGCACGTCTTGAAAACTTATTTTTTATAAGAAAAAAAAATATAGTAGTTAGCAATTGAATTTAATTAAAGAAAAAAAATATAAATCATAGGTTTTTTTTTAGATATCGAAGATTCTTTTAATATTTAGATTTTATATGTCAAATGACAATACCCCATGCGTGTGAGTGTTATAAAAAATACATGATGACAATATTATTAATGTAAAAAGCCAAGACATTCATGCTGCTGATGACAAGATCGGACAGTTTACAATAACAAAAAAGGAAAAATAGATGGCATTGATGAAATATGATGTGAGACATACCAACGAGTAGCAATTATCGCGCATGAGTACAAGTACGTCGATGGGTGATGTGTGATTAGCGACGCAAATGCCTCTGACTGGACGATTTTCAGGGTTGTGGTACGTTATAACTGATGACAATGCGCTGGATAAAACGGCAAAACACATGAGGGAGACATTGTAGTTAACCCATCGTTTAAAATTCCCCTCTGGTATGTAGCCAACTACTGCTGTGCAAATTGTCAGCCACATCACCTGCAAAACCAACATCTCTTCCAACTGAGCAAAATACTTAACGGTTAATTGTCGAATTTATACTTTACATCTCCTCAATACCTGTTCGAGGAATATATCACATAAATAATTCAGACATGACAGAAGGTAACGAAAAACAACTGCTCTGACAATTTTGACAGTTCCTCCCCTTCGAAATTGCACAAATGAAACAAAGACAAGCGGGGATCATTATATTTCGTAATGTTGCACGTATTTTACCAATGAAAATGTTGTCTCCGTTGACAAGATGCAAACGTCCAGAACTGACGTGTGATTTGCTGCACAAATGCCACCTGGTTTTGGTTTGTAATCTGGATTGTGAATTCTTATTACACTTGATAATGCTCTAGCCATAATGCGATAGTAAATTGTATACACAAAGTCACACAACCCTGTTTTTAGACGGCCTTTCGGGAGGAAACCAACCAATGCTGTTGCTATTACAAGGTAGAAAACCTAAGAGAGTTTTTTTAAATAATTGAAATTCGGGAGGCAATTATGGGTAATTCCTCGTACGTATGAAGTGATAAAATAAGATGAATTGGCGTCACTTTACGAGTCTTTAATGGATATCTTTGGATTCAATAGAAGGCAGACGATAAAATTTATGGAATCACTTTTTTCGGTAGCTTCGTTGTGCTTCACAAGAAATTTGATAAAAAATTGTCTCAGTGGCTCAGACTCATCCTATTACCTCACTCCAGTGCTCATTTGAATAGTCATGATTTTTTTTTGTTATTTATTAATCTGGAAGGAGAGTACTTACACCGATGTGGCAAATTAGAATTCTCAGGGGTAGGAGGAAGCAGTACCTCATGAAAAATCCAAACATCCATATGACAGTCAGTCTCCACGATATGAATTCGTATCTTCTGTTGGTTCTCGTGAGAAGATTCCAGTTCTAGAAATTAAATTACCACAATAAAATAATTATTGGAGGATAATTTTTCCTGGAATTACAACAATTAGCGGGAAATTTATACTTTTAATTCTTCAGCTTCAAATCTAGACGTGACTTCATCCTCGATTATGGCCTCTACCCCTGCTTTTATGTAGTCCAAACAAAATGCTGGATCGAATACTGTTTCAAGGGTCTCGAATGATTTCTGTTGAGTGAGAATGCACTGGAATGATTAAAAAATTTATAATACTCCATCCTCAGGTTTTATGATAGTATAGTTTACATCGTTCTTGTTGTCAACGCAATTTGATTTGATTTCTTGTTTTTCAGTGGTATTATTGTCTTTGTGGGTTTCCGGCTCAGGTACCAGGATAAGCTCCTTTGATCTTGCTATCACTGTGTTTCCTATGGATCCGTTTTTACAGTTTTCCTTGGAGTTATTGGATGTGGGGGGCTTTTCAGTCGATGGTGATGAGCCACCACCCTCGTCCTCGCTTTCCCCCGTACCATGTTCATAATTATTTTTTTCATTTCGCACCTTCTCGATATTTTGTCTACCATACTGCAAACAGAAGAGAAACACCATTTATAAGATCTGCCGAATAATTAAATCTCATGCTAGAAGTAAATTATTGAACATTTTTTATTGAAAATTTGTTAGTACAAAATTGGGTAAATAAAATTTGAGTTATCACAAAAAATTGGGAGATAGTTTGCGAACTTTGTCATTTGTGGAAAAAAAATCGATATCAATTTTCAAGGGGCGAGGGTCAGTGGTTGACTCATTCGGCAGGGAATACCTCGAATAAGAAAGCAACCTTTGATCATGATAAAAAATTGCGAACTTTATCGTAAATTTTCGATACAGCCCGCGATATATATTGATACTAAAATTTTACATCTTCCATTTATTCTGATTATGCTTCAATCCGTTTTACTACTTTTTCTTGTTTGTTATATCGATTTTTTATTGCTGTCAGCTGTGATTTTCACCAGGCTAGAATTAATTAATAAAACTGTAGCTGAAATGAAGTTTTATTAATTAATTCCACAAATGATGGGATCTGTTTAAAAATTACCAGATCTCAAAAAAAATTGACGATTAATTAACGAAAAATTATATCAATTAAAATTGCAGCAATCAATTTGTGATTGCGATTTTCTCACTTTGCCGATAGCACAAAGACAATGTTATGAATATAACATAAAAGTGACGAATTAATATGTTATGAAACAAATGTGGCAAATATCTGCAAAAAATTCAGTGACAAACAGATAAACCTTCTGAACTCACAAATGGCTATTAATTTTCCACTCGTTCTGAGTGAATTAGTGCCACAGCCGTAATTAAGAAAATATTTACTGAATTATCCACTTCCTGGTTTCGTAAATATCCCAATAAATGAAACGCGATTATTTCCTGAACCACAAAAAAATGATATAACTCCTACATTAATCCATTACGAAACATGAAATAATAATAATATTGAATAATTTGCAAAAAAATTATTGCCACAGGAATTCCCGAAGATGGACTAACCTACAAGATTAATAATCTTCCACCTAAAATAAATTAGAAATTTAGAAAGGTGAAATTTCCAGAATTACAACAATATCTCGAGTAATCGATGCACAATAAAATGTTCATCGTTGTTTTTTTCAGGTTAATGTCAAAATTCCAAAAAATAAATGGAAATTAAAAAGAAATGAAGTGTGCAGAAATATTCTGCGTAAAATGCGCGATGAATTTGAATTATAAAATGGAAATAATTACACGTTAAATTTTCATCAGTCAATGCCCTGAGTAGAATTAATGATTTTGTTTACCTCGAATAATGTGAGAAGCAGTTTTATGTAAAGTTTTCTTATTCCAAATGATTTACCGATTGACGCGAGAAATATAATAGCAAGTAAGAACATAAGAAATGGCGTGAGAAATAGCGAAAATGTGAAAGACACCACTGACATGAACAACGCCATTTTGCATACTGTCTGCTAAAAACACAAACGATAGCGAATCTCGATTCTTTGGGCTTTTTTACTTCTGGGTCCCTCCAAGCCCGATCTGGGGGCGTTTTTCACCCGAGAGAATTTTGTGAGAAAGGTAAAATCATCGCGATGTCATTTCCAGGATTTGTGCTGCCATTAGTGGACCATCTGGGTATCCCCGATAAACATCTGCTGGTAAAGTCGATGGAGAAATATCATATCAAATCCTCCAGCTTCCACCTAACCTCCCATTTACTTGGATTTACCTAGAGCATTTCCTCCTGTCATATTTTATCAATAGTAAATTCAATTTTTATTTCAATTTCAATTTTTATTCAATAAATTTCTAAAGTTTAACCAGTAATACGAATTAATAAATATAATTGTATTGATTGATTATTCGGCTTGAATTTTGTTTTGATATTTGACGCCTCAAGTTGCCAATGAACATCGAAGTAATATAGGTAAACATTAAAAAATAGAAATTTCAAATATAAAATATGCAAAATGATATTGCAGCAGAATCTTCTCTGAAATGTCAATAAGTGTGAAATCTAGTTCACACGGGTGGATATGGATATGAAGGAATGAGGGATGGCATTAATTATTTTTGTGTTAGAAATCCTTTGGAAGTGCCACAGACTCCTCTGAATTTATTGAAAACTCAGTCTCAATTTTTCGGGGTTCATCAGTCCGCTCAATTCACTGATTTATTATTCAAAGTGAATGTCCTTTTAGGGCATCATGTACTTTCCTGAATTTATTATTCAGTCATTACCCTGGGACGAGTAATTTTCACGATTTAATGGACTCTCTAGAGTACAAGGTGTATGAAATTGCAAAAAGTTATCAAAGACATCTGCTGTAATTACGACCTCTTTACTTTTTGAGTTTACGATTTTCATCTCTTCTCTTGGTCCCTAGGCACTTAGTTTACTTGTTTTGTAGTATCTTTCTCACATTTATTATCCCGGCGTAAACTATAATTACTTGGGCTCGTTTATTGTGGAATTAAAAAGCAATCTGCTCCATAATTTTCACCGAAAATTCCCTCATTAACAAGTTTTCATTCGCAATAACAAAAAATAATTATGTCTATTAAAAATAATTTTCATCCCAACGATTTTCTGTTGAAACACTTTATTCAATTCTATTCAACACTAATTTTCACAGAATTTTCTACAAGCACATCACGTTCGCCTATTTAAAATATAATTAAAAACTCGAAATCTCCAGCAACAATAGATGCAATGAAATTATTACTCTTATCCACGGATTGTCGTAATTGAAATCATTTTCACGCCGATTATTGGTTCATTTTTTCACAATTAATTACCCTTTTGGCTTCGTTCTGCAATTAATAAATCAATCACAAGCGAAAGATGAGAATTTATACGAAAATTCAAATAATCGGAGTAAATGACAAACACTCACCTGAATGAGATTATACAAATTCACCAATATTTCCAGTGGTGGTTTTCCCTGGGCCTCTGAACACCTAGTGCCACTTCCGTTTTCAACAGCAAAATTTTTATTCCTCTTTCCCCAACCCGTTGAGAAAGTCAATTGGGCCTCAGTCGTACCGATAAACAAAAGTGTTATGCATCCAATTAATAAAATCGCCAGAATGCCTGGAGGAATTTTGTTATGCCTGAAACACAAAATTATTTATTAATTCATTTAAAAATACGAAATTATTGACACGTTACAGTGAAAATTATTGGATTCCATGGAGACACTCACATGACTATGACAAACAGACACGAAACTTTTTTTCTTGTCGCTTTTTGAACAGTTAATAGCTGTTCAATGAATTGATGTTGCCAATTGAACGTACGATTTCTTATTGAAGAGTCTCGGATGATCTTGGAATGTTTTATACCCCATGAGACACCTCCTACCCTCCGTCAATTTATTTATTCAACTTCCTCAGTCGCTTCAACTCTGAAATAATTAATTTTCCCTTTACGTGGAAAAATTCGTTCTATTTTTTATTTCAAACACTCGCGAATTCCTAATTTCTACAATACTACAGGAAGTTTGACGTCAATTTATCGTAGTGAGCAAAAACTATTAATAATCGAAATGTTCGTGTTTAATTAATCGACGGTTCACCGCAGTTGAATATAATAATTAAATCTTACGTTTAATTGTTTACAAATTTGAGGGATTTTTGGGAGAAATTGATTTAAAAAATTCTTCTGACGTAATGACAATTATTTACGTACATGAGTGTACGTAGAAAGGTTTCTCATTAAATTGAAGCATTCATTGAAGAGATTCATGAAGCCACATGAATCGGGTAATCAATTTTTTTTTCGATAAAGTTTTTTTTTTTTCGTTTCTGGCTGATGAGGCATTGATATAAATGATATCATTTTTCCAGTTCATGTTGCTTCTGTTTATTTTTTAGGATAATCTTTAAAGATCGAAAGATTTATGGAAATATTTTATTATCTTACTAATTAGCTATTTTATTATGAAAAGATTTGAGACGTAATTGGAGGGATTCCTTCAACTGCAATTGAATTATTTAGTTAACTGACCTAGTAATGAGTCTAAAGGTAAAAAAGAATGGTTTTTTAATGAAAATTTTGAATTCGTTGGAAGCTTGTTCGTTCCGCCTGTCCACATGTAATCCCTCAATTCAATTGCAATTATAGGATTTGTTTTAACAAATTTAGAATTTTGTAGAAAAATCCAATAATGAAGTAAAACTTAACATGTCCGTTCCACTCCTCCCTGACAATGAATAAAAAATATAGAGGAATATTTCATAAAAATGACTTCTCTGTAATTCCGAAAGGATTTTTCCACAGCATTTTGTCGATTATATTTTTTATCTGGTTCTATTTCATATCAGAACAGCAAAAAAAAAACATTGGTTTTCGTGAACAGACTTTTCAGAGGCGCTCCCTTTTTATTAATACAAAATTAGCGGTGAAAATCAATTAAAAATGGACAACCGGTGATTCTGGATGGAAATTGGGAACATGTGCTGCTGGAAATGAATTCCGATGAATACTGTATTCAATTTTATTGATTTTTATTACTAAAAAATTGATAATTCTTAATTACAATCGTTGAAAAATTAATTTGAAAACTAGCGACTAAAGATGACCCCAAAAAAATGGAAGTTATCACAAAATTGTTTTATGGGGAACACATTGCGCTCTAGGTCTCTGCCTATTGTTTTCACATTTTGGATAATTGAATAAAATATTAGGATCTCCAATGATTCGAAGTAAAGCTCATACACATTACACTTTCGTCAACAATTCGTTTGTTCGAAACAAATTGTTTCGATAGCATTTTTAAAATCAATCTTTGCCATGGTTAACGCAATAGTCGATTACACATTCGTATTTTATGTTTACACTCGATGATATTTATCTTATTACAATAACGGCAGTGCGATGTGAATATTTGAGAGAAAGTGTGCAATGCAATTCGTCGTATAAACGCATGAAAATATCGATTCCCAAATGAAAATCAAATTATTCAAGTGTTTTTTCATTCGCATCGAAATCTAAAAGATTGACAATCTTTTTTTCGATTTAATCTCAATTTTTAACTTCATCGGGAAAGTCGCGCGATAAATGTTTAATCTTGGAGGAATTAGAACGAAAGGTCAGTTCGAACTGCAAAAGAGGTAGCCCAACGAATTGTTTTAGAGTTGACAAATTTTTCAGAAAATAAATTGATTGTAGTTTCATTTGAGCAAGCGGATGCTCGATATTTCAGGGAATATTCAATACTGCAATTCTCAGCGAGTGCAAGCGACAGTTTTCATGACAGGAATGTCGATATTGTCATACATTCGTTCCAAAACACTAGTCTGTAATACAAGTGTGAAATAGAGGTATCACGCGATGCATTCGATAGTCAATAATCCATGAACACCTGAATTCTCCACTCGTATCATAAACTAGCGTTTCATCGATCGAGTCAAACGGTATCTAGAAAAATTATCCGTCCACTACTGACGAATTCTTCTCTTTCGTGGGCCAATTCCCACTAATTAGCATCCAGTTACCAAAAGGTACGAGGCAATTATCGAATTTTACAAAGTCTGTAAAAATAATAATTCGCCAACTGCCGGGGAGAAAGAAACAAACGTCTGCGGGCGCTTAATTTTGAGATCACTCATTCTTATTATTATTATCATTATTATTTTACTATTCGATTTTTACGCTTTATCCCTACCCTATGGAATGTTCAATAAAATTGAATATAAAACGCATTTCGATATCTCAATAATACTAATACACTGCCATAAATCATGATTTTTCGTATTGATATATATATTTTGATACGTTATACAGAAATGATTTTTGTTTTTTTTTATTTTGTACAAAAAAAATGCTTACAAAATAATGGAAATTAAAAAAATGAGTTCATATGTATGAGTTATTAAAAAAAAAATCTTAACACGATACAATTGAAGTTTATCGCGCCTCTCTGTGAAAACATTCCACAATATGATTTTTACAATAATAATATTGAATTGCTTTCATATCAAATACAGTCAACAGCCGATTTTTTTTTTTTTCATTATAAAACGTAAAAGTAATAACGGTCGTTAATTCCTCTTTTTATTTTCACATATGGAAGCATTTTGGGATCTCTAAGATCCCTTCAGTGATATGCCACTCTTGTCTCGTTGATTTCCGTTTGATATATTTTAACCGATCTTCCCATTTTAATCAACTCTGCGGTTTTACCCGTCCTTGTTATAAATTAAATTCACTACAACTGGGATCGCACTTGTCATTTAGTGCAGGTTATGCCCTGATTAAATAAAAAAAAAAAACATTCCTCAATAATTATTTCTTCTTTTCTTCCAACTCACCAAACTATTGATTTTCAATAATTGCTCTCATTAAATTAGTTTTTGCTTTCAATTAGCTAGAAGTAAACCAATAATGCACCCTGCATTAATTCACAATGTCCTTTCTAAAAGAAAGCTTCTAATATTGGAAATTGCATAAAAACATTCGATATAAAATGCATTATACATTGCAAAATGAAGATCCGTTGTTATCTGACTTGATTTTTCTTCGCCTCCCAGAGATACATTATCGTTATTGTTTTACGTCTACTCACATACAATAGTATTCTAAAAAATTGCTCCTTTAATCGTTTTTTTTTTACACAAGTAATACATGATTCTGTTATAGCCTCGAGTTCATATTCAACTCTCAAGAGTATTGACACTTTTTTTTACATTAATTCATTCACACGTCCCTAAATCGATATTCTCCGCTTTCGAGATGAATTAAAGAAACTAAGAAAAGATATATTATTTTGAAATTCAGTCAAATACTATCCTGTATTTCCGTTAACTGATAAATTCATAAAAATAGGGGAAAACAAATATCTCTCGTTTTAAATGACGAATGAACAAAGAAATATATATGATCTATATATAATATGATTATTCTTGTGTATGCGATTCAGTCATTGTTATGCATAACACAATTTTCCATTTAATGTACTATCACTGACAATTATTAGTTTTATAACTCGATGCTGTAACTTGATAAAACGTATGGGATTAATTTTTGTGCAAAAACGTCAGTGGATATTTAAATTGAGGGTTTCCGTGGAATTCTTAATTGGGACATGAAAATTGGACAGAATGTCTGTTATTTTTCCATTTTGATGGATAATAAAAAATCAAAAAGAAAAAGCTACTAAAACAATATAATGGCGCATGATTTCAATAGCCTTCTAACTTCTCAATTAAGAATTGTTTCTCAAAATAGAAAAATACGTACACGGTGGCTCTCAATACTTCAGGTTTCATGCAGCAAACTAAATCACTTCCAAATCTTCTTCTCCGTTTGAGGGTGAGTTAATTGAATAATTGAGACTTATCAAGTCGCAATAACTTAATTAACGTGTCACTTTAAATATGATATGTATTGATCCGCTGTTCAAATTTATATTTTCATCGTTTTTCCGTATGACTCCGGCTCATTGTTAATAGCTCACTGCTAAAATTATGCGAATAAATTATTTACAGTGACCTTTTGCCAGAGAAAACCATTCAGAATCATTGCGACGAATCGTTTATTCTCAGAGACTTCTGTAAATATCATATCACGTCTATCCTCCATTCTCTGGAGCCATCCTGGATGCGGTCTCGTTCTTTGGCGTTACGAAAGTCAAATCCGATTATGGTATTTCACTTTTAACACATCGTCTTGTCCTTTTTTCAAAATAACTTTTTAGGCCATCAGCCTGTAATTAGCTGCGCTTAAGTACAAGTAAGTTCGACATTTTGTCTACTTACAATTGTTCATAATTAAAATTATGTTCTATCATAATGTGAAACAGTTCATCTGTAGTCCTTGCAATATTCATACACCCGAGAGACAGCGCATTAACACCAACTTTCACTTTCACGCTCTTCAACACCATCGCTTTCTTCGTCACTCGGCTCTTCACCGTACATATCCGCTAATTTTCTAAACCTCGGGCCGAAGTTCGAGAGATAATTGAACTTCAAGTCTCCATCATCGGTACCTGAAAGCACACAATAAAATTTATGATAAACACGATTTCCCAAATAATCAACGCTTCAGACGAAGATAATAATAAAATAATTCTTACAAGATGCTAATGACGACAGAGATCCATCGGAGTTACCCTCTCCCTCATATGCATAATGCCTGACATCATCAAAAGGATTAGTGTCAGGATCTTTGTCACAGCTCTCCTTTTTGCTGTCCAAAAATCCACAAATATCTGGCACTTCATCAGGCGCTGAGGGAAAAAAAATCGAAAAAAATGCCATGAGAAAAGCGACAAAGAGTTATGCCATGAAGAATGATCGATAACGTATGAATATTCACCTCGTCCTTGATGTGCAGATGGTGCAATTTTCGAGTCAATAGGTGGTGCATCATAAATCCGCCTTAAAACATTCAAATCGTACCCCGTATCAACCTCACCACCTCCCTCGTCCTCATAATTAATGATATTTTCCCTGATGTCATCCATATCCTTGTACAAATCATCGCGCTTTCTCCTATGTACAACAACCGCTAGCAGCAATATCAGCAGAATAGCAACACAAACTAATATAGCAACAAGAAAATTGGAATCAATTCCAAATGAGACTGCCTTAGCGGTGCCACGATCACAGCCTGGATCAGCGTTTTTCGATAATGCTGGCATACCAAGATTATACGTATTACTATTGATTGTCATATTCCTAATACACCCAGAGAACCCTTTACCGACAGGATTATAAGCCCACCCAAAGAGACGTGCCATCTCCTTTAAATCGGTGAACGTACCCCCAATCTGCAATGGACTATTGACATTCAAAAATTCATTAGGCCCAACTGGTGCTGTCAACAGCATGCACGCGGATATTCCACAATTATCCACTTTCATTTCGATAGTCGTTTTTGTCCAGTAAACGTCAACTCTGTGACTCTTACCATCCGTTAATTTAATTTTTTTCTGATCTAGTGACACTGTACCACTGCCATAATCAACATGAAGCACAGCAAACCCATTTCGTATTTCCAGTGCCATAAAATCTTGTACACCGAGCAATTTACTGTAACTCATTGGGCCAAAATAAAATACAAGACCATCATCAACGTATGGCATTAATTCAAGCCCCACGTGAGAGTCATCACACGCCTGTCCAGGTGGTGGCATAACAGCCCATCCATCACCATGGAATCCAATTCCAAGTAATTCACAGCGTGGACCCTCTAGTCCTGGAGGGCACTCACAGCGGTCGAGCAGTGGTGTTCCACCGTTGAGGCACATTATTGGCTCAGCCACGTGGCACATACACGTTGAATCTACAACAGCGCGTACTCCAACGAATGAACTTGTATTTGTATACACAGCATATGGCACTGTACCAATGTTCAAATCACTGCGGCACGAATCATTGCAGCGACTTCTTTCAAACAGGCACTCATCAATATTAATGAGCATTATTTCAATTCCCAACTCTTGGGAGAGTTCCTTGGAATTCTGAGCAACGATGGTATTTAATTTTTCTGGTGCATAATAAGGGCTTCCATGAGCTGAAAATCTAACGTCCAGTAAACTCTTATTATTGTGATGGGGTGAGTGAAGTACGGTGAATACATCGACATTCTCAATAGTGTTGTTCAACAATGTGGCAAATCTCTCCTGGAATATATCCTTTTTACTGATACCAGCGTCATTAGGGGTGACAAACTCTTCAGCGGTGATTCCAAAGAGTCTTATTGATCCAGATTTGACGACAGCCTCTTCGGGTATCTCTTTGACTGTAACATTGACGAAAGCCTCGACATCGTGATACGGTACCATTAAACTCTCCTCAGTTACCTTGAATCTAAGTACAAATGTGCCACTCTCGATGCCTGATAAAAGTGTTATCATACCATTGCTCGGATTCAATCGAAAACCAGGATGACTCTGGTCGTACCAGTTGAATGTTTTATCAGGTAAATCCCAATCATCAGGATCATTGACATAAACTCTACCAATTTCAGTGTCCGGTGCTTCCCCCTTGTAATTGTAAACGAATATCGAGCTCGCTCCCTCTCTCATGGCATTGTCATTGTCATCACCAATAACAACAGTCAGTGTCGATGTGCCAGTCATGGTGGGCAATCCACTGTCACTTATAGCAATTGGTATATTATAACTTTTTCTTTCCTCACGATCGAACATCACTTTAGCTCGCAGATCGTCACCAATAATGGCAAATTTACTTGTTATCGCTTCGTCAGCAGTTTTGAGATCAATGCTGAATTTGAAGGGCGGACCATTATCGTCCGAGTCCCAGTCTCTGGCTTTCAGTCTTGTTATATTACCAGCATGTTTGTTTTCATACCACACTACTGGCTGTTGCATGTCCAAAAATGGGGCATTGTCGTTTATATCGATGAGGGTTATATTGATGGTGACGTGTCCATGGAGTGCCTTTGGTGAGCCATCATCGTCCATTGCCAGAACAATTACTGACCACATTGGATATCCATTTGGTGGATCTCTGTCCAGTGGCTTCTTCAGTGTCATACAGCCAGATTTATCGATGCCAATCAGCGGTTTTTGATCCTCTTTTACGATAAAGTAGGCAATACGCTGATCAGCATTTCTGTCTTTAATATCGGGATCGTAGGCTTTAACTGTTGTTATGCATCCGTCAACGAGTTTCTCCTCCTCGATCGTTGGATATATATCGAATTCCTCGAAAACCGGTGGATTATCATTAACATTTTCAATGAATATCTTAACCATAGCCTCGTCGTCGTAAACTCCGTCGAACGCACGAACAGTTAAATTGTACTCTGTTATTTTCTCGTAATCAAGGGGTCGTGCAACGCGTATTTTACCAGTTGTACCCTCGATGTAGAAACTACCATCAGGATCACCAGAAATAATGCTGTATATAACGGGACTGGCAGTGTCCTGATCCAATGCTTTAACTTCAGTAACTAGAGCATTTATGTTGGCATTCTCAAGTATAGCATTGGCTGTGTAAACTGGTTGAGTGAAGCGAGGTGGATTGTCATTCTTATCAGCAATTTCAATTCTAAAATCTTGCTCACCTTTGTTGTGCTCACCAGTTTTAAACAGTGCACTCGGTGAATTATCGACTGCTATTACTTTGACATTATACGTGTCCTCAGTCTCTCTATCGAATACAGTCTTGGTGGTTATATTGCCAGTGTCCTTGTCAATGGCAAAGTATTCTTGAAAATTATTGAGATAGTAAGTGACCTGATTGTGCTCTGATGTACCATCGGCATCAATGGCACGTACTTGCATAACAGGCACACCAGCCGGCTCATTCTCGAGAACACTGCCTTTCTTCATTTCACGAAATACTGGTATATTATCATTAACATCAAGCACTTCGATGTTAACGAGAGTTTCAGCAGCTAAATTGTACTTATTTTGTACACGAACAATCAATGTGTACTCGGTATTACTTTCATAATCCAAATGCTGAGCGAGCTTTATGTCCGCTGTATTCTTTGATGACTCCAATCTGAAGGTATTACCCTTGTTTGTTTGTTCAGTTCTACCAGGCAAAAGTTCAAATAGTAAATCTGGACTGTCGTTTATGTTTGAAACTCCCTCCAGACGTACAATCGTTGCATCAAAGTCACTAAAGTTTTCACGTATACGAATGGGCTCCAACGACCGTGGCAAAAATGCTGGCGCTTTCTTGTGAGATTCGACAACTCGAATGTCCAAATCTATGTCATTTCCACGTGGCTCTCTCCCCAAATCCTCGGCTCTAGCCACCAAACGAAATTTGTACTCTGGATCTCTCTGGAGAGAAATAAAATTATATGAAAATTATGTCGACGAGTGAATGGAAATGCGAGTCTTTACGATAATGTTAGCTCCTTACGTCGATCGTTTGGTTCAAGAATATAACACCGGTCTTCTCATCTATTCGGAAATATCCACTGTCTTCTGGGCGTTTCGACGAGATACTGTAACGTACCACCGAATTATTCCCATCGTCTATATCCGTTGCTGATACCCTCATAACTTCATGATCAATTCGTAAATCCTGTGGTACTGATTCTGTGTAAACCTTTGATTAAACAAAAAAAAAAAGACGTATGGAGGATTAAATAAATGACAGGGGGATGGTTTCACTCGGTCTTTAATGATTGATGACTGATTGAATAATAACTGCATGCAATTTTCCTCGTACTCGAAGTAACATGTATCGTGCCCATTAAATATTTACAGTGCAATGACATCAACAACTTTCGGTTCTTGCGCTCAATTTTTCATCGATAAATATTGTATTGATCGCTCATGGTTTTGCGTGGGGAGACAATTACGAGTGAATGAAAATATGGGACAATTACATAAACCATCACACCGAAAGTTGCAGACCAACCTTGTATATTGAATATCCCCGTGAGACCTGATTTCAGAGAGAGATAAATGTTAAAAAGCGCAGAATGTCATTAATACATCTCAGAAGCGTAAGAAGTTTAGTTGAGTCGTATTTTATGTACCGCTATGGAAAGTTACTATTTAATTGGGAGTTTGTATGGCAATGATGACTTACTACTTTGTCGAATACTGGTGAATTGTCATTGACATCTTCAATGGTGACTTTGAAGGTGCAAACGTCATCCAATTGTGGACGTCCATTGTCGGTGGCTAAAACTGTTAAATACGCCTCTTTTTCACGTGCCGGCTCATCTCTGTCGAGCATCTGCGTCGTTTTTATGAGACCGGTTACATTGTTTATCTCGAATTTGAGCTTTTCACCGGGTGCAGTCACAAAGCTATAAGTTATTGTTCCTAGAAAAATGAAAACCATTTTACAATATCCGAATCATTGTCACTGCCATAAAATCTCAATGAAAATCAAAGGAAATGACGATAGTTAATTTTATAAATTAAATGACAAATAAATTACCTCCTTCGTCAGGTGGATCTCTATCCTCTGCGTGAACCTGAATGACCATGGTTCCTGCTGGTTCCTCTTCCTTGACCACCGGTGCATAAACCGAACAATCCGAAAAAACGGGTTTGTGGTTGTGTTTATCATCCCGCGTCTGCAAATGAAAGTTGCAAAAACTCCGTTAAATTAAATGACAAATAAATAAGGCCAAATTAAAACGTAACTAACCAAGGATGAGGATGGATCTCGGAAAGTGGTGGAATAATTCATGAAACAAATTTCGCCGATGGGTAAAACTAAGAGACCTGAGTGCTATTTACCAAGAGCTCTGATGTTTTATCCTCCGCAAGAGTGTTCGACATTTTAAATATTTAAAACCAAATAAATTCGATAAAAAGTCCCGTCACAATAGTCGTAGTTAGAATTGGGATTGAAGGAGGTCATGAGTAAATTGAATAAAAGCCACCATGAAATAAACAATAAGGCACTCACCAATGATTCGTCTACACTGAAGTGCTGGGGTCGTGTATCCAAGTGCCTGAAGTGTCTCAGCTTCGTTGTTTCACCTGTGAATTCATTCATTTGATTTGATTAGATTTACTTCCAGTGAGCGCACCGATTTAATTGCATTACTCATTTTATTTCCATCAGTTTTTGCTGGGAGAAAGAAAAAAATATGTGTGGGTAAACAGAACAGAATGTGGAAAAAGTTTCAGCGCTGGATGATGAAGAAAGGGTGTGAAATAACAGGGCATTTTCAACCCTTTGGGGTGGAACAGGTCAAAGCCACCACGAGTCACTGTAATTACAGGCAAAAATGCTCTCTATCTCGTCTGTCACCTCGTCTACCCCAGGATCCAATCACCAATGTACCTAGTACGTTACAAGAACAGGAATATTTCAGTTAAACATTAAAGTTACATACAACCCTCACATCATTACTCTGGAATCATTCCAGATCAATTAATTAATCGTCTCGGTAATTATTGAAAATTAAAGAATATTCAATTTGGGGAAATCGGATTCGGCTGTTGTGATACTAAAATAGAAAATTATGACGAGCATTTGATCGAGAAAATACCAAACGAGACATTATTCCTCGATAGATAATTAGACATTGAAAATGGCCATTGCCCTACATACACCTGGATAATTGTGATGTGGGCCAAGGCTGTTGCATGCATGAATTTATGACGGCATTCAGTACACCACATGTGATCGATAATGCCATAACGAGAACAAAGTTTCGCAGTTTCGTCGTTCAAGGGAGTTCATAATCGATAATTCAGCACGAATATTATCTGATGAACTCACTCAAGGGATGATCAACTTTCTGAATTCTATAAAATATTCACAACAGATGATAATACCACATGTGCTCCATGATTTATAGATTTTCCGACAAGAAAATCAATGGGACACTTTCATTGTTTAAACCTGTGAGGAAAAAAAATTCAACCAATTTTTTACCTCTAATCAGGTTCTAAACATCCGTTTATGGAGGGACAAAGGAAAATGTACGCTATTATCTATCGATCCAGTGCTCTTTACTTAGAAGTATTATGACACTATGACACACATTGGATATTTCCTCGGTGACTTTATACTGTACATGAAAACAACAAGCTCGGGTATAAAATGGAAATATACATGTCTGTGGTAAAATGTCAATAGAAACCATTGCATTATTTTTGCGGTGAATCGAAAATTCTGGTAAAAAGTTGTCTGTATTTCGCTGGAGTTGGGGAGAATCGCGTGACTCCATTCTCCGATGAGTTATTTTCACCGGCTGGTGAACCGAAAAGTTGTGTCTAGAATTAGATAAAAATTTCTCTTCAACTTTTCATCGAAGAATATTTATATTAAATAGATGAGGAGAACAGGAAAAATTAAGAGATAGAGTAGAAGAATAGAGAGAATTCCCCAATTTTTTATTTTTGATGTTTTTTAAAATACCAATAATTGCGTGAGTTATTGACAAATGTGATTCATAAGAAATTTTTTTTTAAATAAAGGATTATAAACAGATTTCCTCTGTAATTACCGAAAACGGATTTCGACCATTGAAGTATTTCTGTACAGAGAGATATACAAAAATTGAATTATGACTCTCAGATTATTCTAATTAACGAAGAAGTCAGTTAACCGAGAATATCTCTAAAAGTTCATTACCCGGAATGGCCGGTCATTTAAGAAATTAGACCGATGTTCTATTGATAGAGTTAATAACTAGAAGGTTGATATTCGAGAATATCGACTATTTGAATTCGTCCAGTGTCTCTCTATTATTTATGTATCCATACATAACCGATTCAGATAAATCTTCCAAAAATCTCTACATAAACTAGTAATGATCCGATAAATTTTTAAACAATTACTCAAGCAGGGAGAATACTATATTAATAAGCCATTCTCATTATCAATGATGAGAAAACGAAATAGTCTTCATAAAAGTAATAAAAATTCTTTCAATGATTTATTAGCGAAGGGTGAATTATGGATGGAGCAAATGAGTGATTTCGTTTTTGTTTTACTTTTTATGGGTGAATCTTTGGATTTAATGGGGGCATTGAGGGAAGATAATAGTAGAAGCACGCGGGTGACTATAATGCACTTACGTACGTGCATATGTGGCAGTTTCACCCTAATGCAGATGTGGTTGCAGTCACTCAGGGAATATTCGTCAATGTGGGGGCATTGAGGGTGGCAGGGGGTTGCATGCCAATTGTATGCCACGCAGATCCCGCGTCCTCATTACGTAAATTATTATCGAACCGTTCAATTGCCGGACGCGAAGGATTTCGTGTTCGTTCGTACGTCATTTTGTGTATAAACCTGCATATACACATGAAACTCACTCGCATGTGAATTTTATATACCCATTGGGAATATATAACTGAAATGTATATTTTTGAGATTTAATGTGATGTACTTTATATACGATATCTGCAAAACCTACCCATCCTCCACCCATACCCCCACATACCACCCGTCAACTCTAACATTTTATCCCGGAAATTGTAACCAATTTTCCACGGACAGTTTGCGATCCAAATATTTATCGTTCTCTCATATTAGCCCGGAGTATCTGACAGCCTGGATGTGATACTATTATCAGTATACGATAAATGGATAAAGACTTTATTTTTTTTTATCTGTTGGGGAAAAAAATATGGGTGAGTCATGGATATAGGAATTAATACTTTTTGGAAAATATCGATTCGATGATCTTTCCTGGCGAATGGTTGCATAATTTTATGAAAAAATTCGTATTCCCATTATATTTTTTGGGACCAGCAGTGACATCGAATTTTCATGGACAAATTGAAACCAGAATATGAACGATGTTGATGGTTCAGCATAAAAAATATAGGAGAAATAATATCGTTAACAATTTTATTGGATGACTCGATCTTTCATTTTTATCATTTTTTCGTTAAAGAGTTTCGCACGTTCGTCCAGGGTGTGAGGTCTGGCCCAAAGACAAGGCCCTTTGTCTATGGGGTTGGTCCACGTGTCGGGTTGTCTCTTCATAAACAGTCTAAGTATTTTCATCATTCCCTGCGACCTGTGACAACGGATCGCCTGTTCGTGTTAACGTCGAAAATATTTTCAACCAAAAAATCAATAATACCAATTTCGCGGATGGAAGTGTCAAATTATTCGCACATTATTCATTGATTGGTGAATAATTCTCAGAAATTATAATCAAGTTGGAATATTAGTGAATAATTAATGCGCATTCGCTAATTATGATTTGATGGAAGTTTATCACTGTCAGATATGAACTGAATTTATCCATGACAGTTACAAATTGGGAAATAATAATTATATTATTATATTACACACTTCTCTTTCAATATTTTATAATTAATATTTATTTAAAGAGTAAAGAAAAAATGAGGAATATTTGAGGAGTTCATACGAAGATATAACAGAACCCGAATTTATGTCCCATTATAACTAAAGAGTGTATCTCATTGGGTGCATCATTAATTCGATCGCAATGATGAATCAAAGAATTTCTCTGTTCACCATTAATGGCCTATAAAAGTCCGCACGGAATCATAAACGACCCAAATACCTCGATATTTTGTTATTCCATTAAAACGAAATCCCAAAATAGTTCATCTGACAGTATCTCTCTTCGCCCCAAGCAGAAAATAGAACAAGACATCATATCCTCATTAGTTAATCGAATATACATGAAATCCTGAATGACGAGCAACCGAGCATTGAAAACCAGACAATACTAGTTCTCAACCGCAACGAGAAAAACTGTATACTACACAGAAATGAAGAGCAGTTGCACATCGACAAAAATTTTAAAAAATAATAAAAACGGGTTTTAAAGTTAATAATTAATTTACCGGAAATATAACATAAATGGAATGCCCGGATAAATAAAATGACTGTATAAATGAATGGAGATCGTTTGGAAAACATCCGGTTGATGAAAAAAAAGGCGTATCATCTTACATATAAATTTGACCACAATAAACTGCTATCACAAAATAGACGATCAATAATTTAAGTGTACAAAGGAGTCATTGTGTGTGGCTGATCGGTAGTTGTAAAAGCTCACCCCACCCTGTCTAACAATCCCCAGTGTATTGCATTCATCGTAGGAACCCTAGCTTTCCCATGTACTTGGGCTTGTAATCTTCAATATATCCCTGTACTATGACCCCCTCTACGAAATTACGCACGAGTATCTACATCCCACAGCGACGTACATGCCGATCAAATAAATGAATTAGAGAGAGACCGAGAATAGTTGAATCGATGAGTCATAATAAATTGGTGAGGGGAATCTGTACAATGAATCGGTACATCAAGGGCCGTACCGAATTCCCCTTTGTGTATTTACTCGGGAAATGACTGTCTTGAGATTTTTGATTACATAAACTGGAAAATTGCAGCAATAATCTGGCAGATTGACGTGTCATTTTTTTTATTAATCATCATTTGTGTCTGATCTTAATAGAATTGCAGAATCTGGTACACCAATTCTTATTTAACTTGATCAACGTAATTCGATAGCACTTAATATATCATTTTCAAATGAGATTAATATTTTCTGGAGAAATTCATGGAACTGAAAATAACGGCATGACTCTCTAGATGAGCGCTATTTATTGCGAATTTATGTAATTTATATTGAAGAATATCAAGCAGCATTTAAATAAAGGTATCTGCATTTTGTACGTAAAAATCTGGAATATCTGTTCGAGAAATTGATGACGAATAATTAATTTAATTATACAAAATATTCTATTGGGAAAATTTTCAAGGTAATCCCCAGTTCAATTTGATTTTATTGAATTATTATTAGCCAAGTGAAAATTTTTTCATTATTTGTTTTATATAAATACCATTTGCATGTCACGAAAAACTCGAGTGTCAGATTACTCATGTGCTGAGTGATAAAAAAAAGCGTGAAAAATAGCAAACCTAATATGCATTAACCGTCGACCGGTGTAAAGTGGCTGTGGAATAACTAGCCTTATGTACATCCGCCAACGACAATTGGATTACAGAAATTCAATTAAAAGTCAAAGAATTTTCCTGAAGGGGGCATTCCCAGGGATGCACGCTTGAAAAGCCATTGGACACTGGATCGATAGAATTCCATTCATTGTTAGCACATTCTGCTAAATATAATAGGTTGAATTTGCCGAAAAGGATTAAAAAAATATATATCCTGGAATTAACTGTTAAATGGATAGTTCAAAGGGGCCACTCAAGTGCGTTTCAGTGTTTGCGTGATCTAGTGTTGGAGAAAACTGAAGCGAAAGTCGACGTTGGAAGACTGAAACTGGACAGCTGGATAACTCCAGGGCGCCAGACACCAACATAGATAAATTGAAACTGATTTGCTACTGTAGATGACTTTTTTTTATCCCCTTTGCCCTGCCCTTTTTCTCATTTTTCTCCTCTTATACCAACAGTCACAGACACATCCGCAACTTAAGTTGATTAAAACGTAAGTTTCTCGCATCAAACCCAGAGCAACACAAAAAAAAAATTACAGCCTTAAAAAGTCAGTTCTTTTTTAATGATTGCCACAGGGCAGGTCTGCGCGGATCAATTAGTGAGTGAAAACTCGAAACAATTGGGAAACCTACTCTTACTCCATGTTGATCTAACAATCATATTTACCGTTCACACAATATTGTAAATTCTATGTATAAATGCTGCGAAATATGCGGCTGTTATTCTGGTAATTGGCAAACCGTCCATTGATCTCGAAAATTCAATAAACTCGAATATTGAAATTGATGGAGAAGTCGTGGTTATTGGAGACTTTGGCCTGGAGGTTCTTGGATCAATCGTATTGTGCATGAGAATTCGGTGAGTGTCAAGTCATGGGTAATTTTGTGAGGCTGAGTAACCGAGAAGCATCAGAAGCCATCGATTTTCGTGTACAAAAATAAAAACTCAATCGGAAAATCGATTTATCCATTCGTGATAGGCTTATTGGAGCACATGGTGTGCAGGAAACCACATTCACACGTTAAATTCCAAGTATCCGAGTGCTGACTGACAAGAAAGGAATGCATGACGTCAGGCACAAAGATTCGTTACAAGTTTTTTTTTCCCCTTCTCCTCTCTCGTTTTCTCCACGCACATTACCTGACTCACTTCGTGATAAGTCATTTTTATCATTTCCATTCATTCATTCATTTATCCCCTCTTATGTGGTACAATCAGAGGCTGAAGGGCTGATGGGCAAAGAGACAGGGAAAAGAAGGGGAAGAGACGTACGTTCTAATCACGATTTACCACGAGTGTGTGGGAATTTTAGTTTTTTATGTTCACCTCCCTCGACACGATAATGGCTTTTCAGTCTGTGTCACCCGAGCATGACAAGAGACCCCCAAAGTCCAATGGTAATTCTAGTTGATTCCATAATCGCTGGCCAGACCAACAGCACACACTCCCCTGATTTAATTAACTCTGATTTGAATAAACAACGTTGACATAATGAGAACTAATTCAACAATTAAACTCGTCAAATGTCAACGTTATGGGGATTTTCCAGCGGTCAGGTGGTCCAGTGGATTGCAATGATAAAAATATATTGAGAGTAACCCAGAAGTTTGAATACCTCAATTCCTCAACTTAATACCACATCAAATCAGACCCCAACTGCTATTTATTATTTATTCTGCAAATTGATGAATAAAAAGTCATTAGTGACATTTTTTCGTCGGAAAATCCTGAGATAAGAGGAGATATTTCAAGAATAATAAAAAAAAAATCGTTCCCACTGTTTATGATACACTCCAGAAGACGAAAGGGGTTGTACCAAAATGATATCGTCACCAATAGATAAAGAACTCCCCACCTCTTCGTCAATTCGTCTCTAAGTCGTAATCTTATCTTTCATCTCTAGTCCACACTGTCGTAATTCTACAAAGCAGAATTTCTTCTCACGAACTGGAGAAAAAAAATCCGAACCACTTCAACTCTTGACTACAATATCAACCCGAATGCAAACAAGATGAAGAAAAAAAAGAAAAATGAAGAAAAATTCATGGGAAAAAAAAATGGAGAGAATCCTATGCTAATGCCTCCCATCGATCTGTTGATACAACGAGAATTTCCATAAATTTACCAAGTGCCTTGTGTATCAATGATGGATCACAGCTGTGACGTGCTGAGTTTGCACGAATTCCCATTTTGGGGAAACCAAAATGCACAAGAGCATCCAATAATAAAAGATAACATTATTCCTCTGAGATAGGGCCCGCATGGAGTGAAAATAAAAAATCCTGTTATAAATATGTTTGCAACGTGAAATTATCACCAATTTGCGTGAGGGGGTCAAGTTGAGGTAGTGCATAGAGGTAAAAAAAAAGTGAATAAATAAAATTCTCACAGTACTCTAACGAAGTAGAGCCTCGGGGGAGTGACATTGGCCGACTCATGAGCCGGCAACACCGCCAAGAATCCGCCAGCTTGTATTCCAGTTACACTACTTCAGGCTCTACCCCAGGGCCGTAGCACTTTAAACTTTTTTTAACGCTTATTCATCAGGTATTAAAACAAGAAGAAAAAAAAAGCCCTCACTCTGGAACATAATTAACCCGTGGAAAATTGATCACCGAAGAATCGAGCGCGAGGAAAACCCAACTCCACATCAACTTCTAGTTGAATTACCACATCAGCTGCCAATTTGCCATTATCCTCATGATTACCAGCTGATTGCCCAATTCTTAAAAAAATGAAGAGGAGAAAGGAATTGAATTTTTCTGGGTAATTTGACGTGCAACAGTGGATCGTCATTAAGTGCCGGATTCATCGGATGATTCATTGAGTACATTCTAAATTCTTTGGATTCGATATTTCGATGTCTTGGGTGAATCAGAACTGAAGCGGATGCTACTGACAATTTAAGTCTGAAACTTCAACATGAAGCATATTGGAGTCATGTCAAGTGAAAGAGAATGCACGATTGATAGATATTAAGAGCTACAGCTTATCTATCACTTCCGGATCATAAAAAAAAAATTTGAGTGGAATGGAGGTATCAGAAGGGCATGATGGAGCCTTTGAGAGTTTAGATCCGTGACGTTTTAGTGTCTGGTGCTCTTTTCTGGTGGTACAGACTTAACTTGAGACATGGCTAGGGCACGCTATCGTGCCTTTATACCATATAATAGAAGACACGACTCCTCGTAGAAAAGTCCAACGAGAAGTGTGTAACCACCAGTTCTTTGCCCCCATTACCAACCAACGTATATCTATTTTTCTTTTGTACATACGTACACAAATCTCATAACTATGCAATATCAAAGCAAAATTCATTTAATTCTTCCATTCACTCTGGGCTTTATCTATTCACTCTCTGGATTTACAAAACAAACCTGGACTATTGGCTCATTGCGAGTAAAATCAAATTGTTGAGTGAATGGGAATATTTTCTTTCTTTTTGTTTTGTTCACTCGTTGCTTTGTTCAGAGAAAAATCAGTGTGGAAAGTGAACAGAGAATAGTGAGGAGCAGATATGGAGTCCTGTGCATTTGCCAGACGATTAGTCACGCTCACTTCTATGTCTGCATCTATTCGTGAGTTAGATTTTTATCTGGTCGTATCAAATCGGTATTATCCTCGGGCATCATCGAGTACCTTCAATACATTCCCATTGAATAAACCTCTGTGACATCACATACCCGGCAATACGTTTGAGTCACAGCTATCAATATTCAAAAGACAAATAAGCTTTGTGTTTACTCGGAGAAATAAAAAAGAGCATGAAATATTCCGAGTCGTTTCAGGTAATGGAAGACACTCAAAAGCTGATACGAAAGGAAGTATCTGCGATGGAATAAAAGCAAAATATGAGAGAAAAAAAAAGTGAGAAAAAGAGGAAAGAGGGAAAAAGGGGAAAAAAGGAATAATGAAGAGAGTGAGTGGAAGTGCTTTTAAATACAGGTATAAGGGACTCGCAGTGGTATTTGACAGGCTGACGAAGCCGGTCCCCATACTATGCCCAACTCGTACTATCGGGGCCTTACGCGCATGCGCATAAACGTTAGTCATGTATTTTCCGTTGGCTTTCGTACATAGTATACACAAAACCACTCTCTTACTGGCTGGGGCACACCTGAAAACCAGTTAAACTCAACTCACCAAGAGTTCCAGTGAGTAGAATGAACAATGCGAGAGTCCCCACAGGCCTCGCCCAGGCCCATCCTCGATTTTTCATCCCTCCATTTAAAAAAATCACCATTTTTCTCCAATTTCAATATTCAATTATTTATATCCCACAGGTAACGCCACTCAGGACTCTATCTCGACGGATATTTATCAATCACTCGCGTAAAACCGGATTTGAAACTTGGCATTAAATCGGTATATAAATTCGGATAAAATTGGGATCACAGATCCCACACTTTATTCACATTAATCATTGAGTATTGTCATGATTGTAACACTCGTCACTGCTGAATTTGAAAATAATAATAATTAAACACAGCACTTCATTGGGGATAAATGTGAAAAAAACGACGGTTGGACTGATGCTCGGAAGGAGAGACGCGTTTTACTGAACTCCACTCTGTGAAACTAGTGAATACACGACGCTTTGCCCCCTCTTTGTACCCCCCATCGGCCTCCCCCTCCGCCCTCTACCAATGCCATCAATCCCCCAACCCTCTCCCCTCCACAAGTCTTTTCCTTTTCCAACCCCCCCACCATTCCACTTTTATGCCACTGACTCCATCTTTATTCCACGCAGGGACGCCGCCAAACTCTCAACATCGTCTACCTGCTTTCCATCTTTCTCACCCTCGGAGTCGCCTTTTCACCGGGAATAGCACTGGGGTATACCCGGTGCAAACAGTATATTCTCTGTTATCTCCCCACTACCTGGATATGGAGGAGAACTACTTGTTGATTGTCCAGGACCGTAACGCCAGTACTTTAACCTCAGGTATGTTCAATTGTTTTTTTTTTCTCGACGTTTTGTTCGTTTTCTCTTTTTTTTCTTCAACGTCTCTTTTCCCTTTACAGCTCACTTTTTGGACTTGAGTGGTTCTTTCACGGGTGGATTTCTTTATATTTGGCTGTTTTCATGGTTTCATGGGTATTTTTTTTATTCTTTCAGATTTCTGATAAACTGCCGGTACAAACTCATGAATATGTGGGAACAATGGAATTCGATTGTTTGATGTGAGAATTGGAGGAATTGGAATGGATCGGGTGGATGTGGCGAATTGACGATGGGGTGAGTGATATTTGATGAAATATTCGGTTGATCGGGTAGTTTAGGTCCATTTTGTCGTTATGAAGTTTTTCGGGAATTTATTTGCGATTTACACTTTTTAATGGTCACGTTTGACACGTTTGAATTTTTTGTGGCGGTTATTTTTAGAGGGAATAGTCTTCGGTCTTAATCGATTTTTTTTCCTATTTGCAAGATTCACGGTTGAACAATTGAATTTAATGATGACTGATTGAAGTATGGATTCGTTGGTGGATGAGTGTAGAGACTGGAGATGACTGATGAGTTAAATTAAAAATATTTTTTTCAATTGGTTTCATCCGGGATTTCGTTCCTGTGACGTGAATTTCAATTTTTCAAATTGTTGGAAAAATCTGTCTTTGCGACTCCTATATCTCACCGGACGTTTTTAACCCGAGGGGATAACAGGACGTTCGTTTATCGGAAAAACATGAAATACGAAACTGAAGCGAATAAAAAACAGGCGAAACTGATTGAAACCATATATTTTAAAACCAAACAGAATGTATTTTTTCGTAATTTTATATATGTAATGCATATAATACATAAATTCAGTATTGATTGACACACGTTTTAAAAATGGAGAGCCAATTTTCGTGGAAATTTCGTCGATTTTCTTACTTTTACGAGACTGAAATATTTTTCACTAATTACAGACTTGTAAATTATTTACAACAGACCAAACAGCTAGACAATTCAGGGCTACAGTAATTGGGCAATTATTTTCGCTATAATTGGTTAAGGGTATAGTGATATATGAATTGCTAAAGTGTGGCATAAACATTTCAACCCATCATCAGTCGCACTACACAATTTTTACAAAATAATTAAAAGCGCGAATATCTAAAATACGCATTAAAAAATGCGGTACAATTTTTGTAAAATTAATTCTATTGCACTTCGCAATGAAATTTAATATTCTGACATCTGAGTCATCAAAAATCGTGTATTTCCCCCAACGAGCCCTTAATTCGGTCAATCACACAGATTGAAATAAAAAATAAATGGCCCTTTAAAAGACCGAGTAAATGCAACGCTATTTAAAAAAGGAACAATCATTGTTTAATTCATGAATGATCCAAAATTAAAACAGATCATCAGGATTGAGCTCATAATTGATGGTGAAGGAATCAGAATTGCATACGTCCAACCAAATATATTTCCATAATCCCATAAAGAAATTATCGGGCATTCACAATCACTCGTGATAATGCGGTGAATTAACCGAATATTTTGGTGTTAAATAAATGACACCTATAATGCCAACAATTTTCAATGAATTACCATAAATTTGAATGAATCGATAGTTATCAATGAGATTCCCTGAACCATGTTATGCTTCTGATAGAGAGGCCGTTGTTTTCTTTTAATATTCACCGTTGGTTATTTCACGGATCACCTAGTACATATCATGCCACAATAGAACTGATAGTACAGAGGTGCGAGCAAGTGTTATGGATAATGTCATTTACCCCAACATTTGCCTCTGAACTATTAAAATTTCAAATGCAATTTTCCAATAGTGCAGAACTACTCGCAATCAAGGGGAATTATTATTTATTTAATTTGTTAACTAAATCCTTGGATAAAGGTTCAGGAAAATTCCCTCATGCGGCCTGAGTATGAGGGCATTGTATTTTTTAATATTCTCGTGATTATCTCGGCTTTTGACTCTCCATTTTCGGAGGATTTCAGTCAATACAATTTTTATTTCCATTATGGCAAATCTCTGGCCAATGCAATTGCGTATGCCCCCGCTGAAAGGCACATAACTGAAGGGATGTCGACCCTTGGAATTTTCTGGTAGAAATCGATCGGGATCGAAATGCGAGGGATTTGGCCAGTGTCTAGGGTCGCGATGGAGTTGATAAATTTGCATCATCACGGTACATCCAGATGGAATAATATGCCTACCTGTTTAAACAATCGACAATTAGTCGTGATTACATAGAAAAAAATTAAAAGTCTAACAAACCCATTTGAAAATCCTCTGAAATACGACGACTAACTACGGCGACACTCGGAAACATTCTGAGAACTTCTTTTATTACTCTATCGAGATACTTCAGTTGAGGAATTTGTTTAGTGGTTACTGGCTCACTGGAGTTGCCAAAAACTTCATGGAGCTCTTGATGAATACTGTTCTGCACTTTCTCGTCATTCCCAAGGCAGAATAAAGCCCAACTTATGAGTGCACCAGTCGTGTCATGGCCCTACAAGTTTCACCATAACTTATTCATTAATTGGAATGTCTGAGTAATGTGCAATTGTCCACATATGCTTTTAATCACTTGCCGCAAACATAAAAGTGTCGACCTGCTCTCGTATTTCTTCGATTGTCCAGGGTTTAACGGCATTTGCACTGCTCTCGAGTAGTAAATCCAAGAAAGCCCGTCTCTTTGCTTTTCCTGGATCATCAATGAAAATTATTATCTGGAAGTTATAACATTTCTTTCTGGGTTTTTATTTAGCAAATTTAATGCGTCGAAATATTTTAATCGCGAAATTTAAATCCATCCCATCGGTAATTAAATTATCTGGTACAGTGATGGGTTGTATTCGTTGACACATTTACAAAAATATCCTCTGAAGTAAGAAGAAATGTCAATGCCATTTTTGGCATATCGCGCAGAAGACAATACGTATCCGGTGAATGTTATAAATTATTTCACAAAAATCGGTATTTTCAGTTGATAAAATCGGATGAGGATTTTCGGAGATATTCAGTGCATGAGATTTTCAATGCAATTAATTAACATTTCCATTGAGCAAATCCCCGTTGTATAATTAATGAATATTTAACGAAGATATATAGTGACCGAATAATAGCCTAGAGGATCCTTCAAGCACAGTATTTATCCACAATTTAATACCGACATGGTGAATAATCTATGTGAACTAAAAGCTCATACAGATTTTAATATTCTCAAGTCTCTCTTCATCATTACTGACTACTCAATGTTTTTATCATTTTTATTAAAAAAAAATATTACCGATTCCTTCATCCACATCTTGACAGTCAGTTTTGACTTTTTGCTGCCTCTCGATTTTCTTTTGCTCAATCACCTGTCAATGCAAATAATATTTGTCTGAAGTCAGTATTTCATATGAAATTATAAAAAGAAAATATTCACATGAGTGCATCTCGTCTGTGTGATTTCTATAGCTGCTCGGAATTTTTTTCCCATCTCGGTGCGATAGTAAATCCAGTCGAATTTTAGCCAGGGGCGCACCATGCGATTCACTGCTTGCATTGATAACCTGGCAAGATCAATTCTCTCATTGATTACTGAATATAAATAATGTACATTTCAAAGAGACACACATACTCCTCCACAGCCCGACTGTATTCATTTTCATTCTTGCTCTGGGCGTCGACGTTGACCCCCATTGCCGTTTCTGGAATAAATTTTCATTATCAGAAATTAATAATGATGACAATACCATTGAATTACCGCAGATGATGTCCAATGAGCATTTTCCAATTATGTCAAACACGTCGAATGATTTATTTCCATGTAATTCCACTTGCTCCTTCAATCGCTCGTTTAGAATTGCAACTTTTTCCACCATTACTTCCGCGAAATCGTCAAGAATACCGAAATGAAAAGCCGGTGTTATCAATTTCCGATCGCGAAACCATTTGTCACCTGAAATAGTTGAAGGATGAAATAATTAAACAATTAATTATGCGAAAGTCTGAGTGAAATGATTTTTACAGATTTTTAATTAGAGGACATGCTCTATTTAATTTTAACCGTCAATTTACCTGATGACGTTACCAATCCTTGACCCAACCACGGTACCATAGAATCGTAAAAGACAGATTTTTCGATAAATGTTGTACTCCGAAAAATAATCTGAACATAAACTTAAATTAATCATCACATTATGCAGATAGTCAGATGTGAGAATCACCTCAGCATTCTCTGGTGTGTTGATGTGAATAGTTGGATCAAATCCAATCCATGTTCTGTAAATTCCATTTTTGTATTGATTTGCCATCGAGTGAAACCACCGCAACCGATCTGATAACAGAGCAGCACCAAATTATGTTGTCAAATTTTTTTAATTATTAACTTTCAATGTTATATTAACTTTCATTGTTATTTCACCAATTTTATGGGTTTCTACCTTCTCGTTTGACTTTAATAATATCCCAGGATAAACCGATAATTGGAAAACGTCCACTTGGACCAGGGATTCGATTTATTTTCTCCCGCCATGAATAATAATTGTTAATTTTTTTTATTATTTGGTAAACAATGAGAACTGATAGACAGGTAAATGTGATCAGTAGCATTTCCATTTTCGGGCCTACGTTTACGGAGTAATAATTTTCTTCACACTGGTATGATCTCTCAATGCAGTGACTGTATATATCCTTCCCCCTCTCAACTCCCCATTGTTGGTCCGGGTAAATTAACAATAAAAAAATTATGTCAAATAGAGGATAAAATACCAATTCCCACAATATTTTTTAATATATGGAATCCATTCGTTCCTTCAACAGAATATAATTTCCACAGTAAAATTGAGTCTCATAAATAATCAAAAGAATTTTTAATATTTTATAATAAATATACATAATATAATACATAAAAATCATAAATAATACATAAATCCCGCGATCACGTGAAAAAAATAGTTTCTCCTGTTACGACGTCGATAGATTTTTATTTTCTATCGTCGAACGTTTCTCAGTTGTCATTTTCATATATTATTCGAGAAATAATTAGCGATCTTCTTGAACTCCCCCTCCCACGATGAATAATTTCAAAAACTACAATTACTCCGAGGAATTCTTCGTAGTTGAGTCGAATTTATCGAGTTTGTTTCGTAGCTGCTCCGGACAGTTTCTAGTATTTGTTATTCCCTTTATTCCATACACTCCTTAATTCTCACATAAAAACAGCAACCGACAAATGGCGGTGGTTGCGTGATGCTATTTCCATGCAAATATGATTTCAATGATGTAACAGAATGGAGAGGTTTATCTATCCCACAGAAAAGTAAAAACAATCGCTCATAATCCACAGACTTTCCAGAAAAAAACTAATCGCTCCATGAAGATAAACTATAAATTCCCTCGCCTACTGCAATAATAATTAATAAAAAAATAATCGTTCGAGCTCTCCAATTTCAATTCCAAATAATAAATTAATTAAATATCTCCATGCATCTCCCTCAATATATTTATAATTTGCAGAGATGCATCGGGTATTTAAACTTTCTAAAATATTGAAGCAATCGTGAGGCGTTAATTTTCTTAATTAATAACATAAGCGTAATAACATGTAATTATCACAATGATTTTCATTTGTCACGACGATATTATCGTTTCTAAATTCCCAGTAACCTCAACGTATTTTTATAATTCCATCGCTCCGTTAAAATTCATAAATTCCGAGTGTCAGTTCCGAGTAAAAAATTATTGACTGAAAAAAGAAAGATGTCGACAATCGAATTGTTCTTATGGATTCAATAATTTTTCGTGTGAATAAATTAAGTCCTGAGCAATGCAGCATCTAACTACCGGTTAAATTCCCCTGTGGAGTAGTTCGCGTACGCAAAAATGACATTCTGTTATAAATCCCCGAAAGTCCAGTCCTGTCCGATGGCCTCTGACTACAAAAGTCATGGGCTCCGGGAGGACCTGGAGGAAACCGTCAACGAGATGGAGAAACGTCATGGGGAATTGGCGAGTCGTCGACAATTTTTGACAGAAAAAATTTTAAATTTGGAGAAGACAATGCCTCTTCTGGTTGCTCACAAGTTCTGGAGTTGTGGGCAGAGGGATAAAGTGTCATTTGAGAGAATTCAACAACTCGTTGATGAGTTATCACCATATCCTTACCCCAATTCCACTGAGAAACTCCTCAAAGAGACGAATGACAAATTGCAACGACTGAACGAAGAAACGAAGCAGTTGCATGTAGGTAGGACATGAATTTTTCGTCAAGGAAAATCATTTCCCCAAAATATCACCAATATTTCACTTTTTTCATTCACCTGAAAAGAAAAAAAAAATCTTCGGACCAAATCGCTACTCCAATCCCCTAATCCGTAAATATATTATTGTAATAATATATTTTTCTTCGTTTTCTCGTGAGAGAGAAAATTAAGAAAAAATGGAGAGGAGACTTGTGGTTCTGTAATAATCACAACGAATCCCTCAATTTTTTCTTGTGAATGAATTTTTCTCGACGCAATTGAATAGACGTGATTTGGATACCCTCATTTAATCATTCGTCAGGATAAAATAATAGAAGCAGACGTGAAAATCGAAGAGAGTGGAATGGAATTGGAGTCGTTACTCCTGGTGAACAACGAACTGGCTGAAAAGATCAAGTCCTCGGAGACAAAAGCTCTGGAGAAAGAACGACGGGCTAAGGGATTCCCCGATTTACATGAGATTGATCCCGAGGATATTGCGTGTCTCGGTAGAATTCGTCAACTTGTGCAACAAGAAATACGATTGAAAAATTGTATAACTGCACTTGAGGATCGAGAGACCCATATGCAAGCTCAATTGAATCAATTGTTACCAGACAATAAAAAATTGGATAAACGGCCGAACAAGTGCCCAGAAAAATCGAAACGAGGAAAGAAAAGAGTTGGTATTCCTGGAAATGTCTGTAGGAATTATTTCTATTTATTTAATCATTTCCAGGATGATAAAAATGTTAGGGAACCTCCGGTGAGAACTCATTCTTCAAGTACTCGAGATGACGTATGTCATTGTGACAGTGAAGGAAGTCTATATCAGAACGATTCAACGAGTGATGATGATAGTGATGATGAATACTGGGAATGCTGTAACTGCGAGGGTCATTAATTAATCAACAATTTCTCATTCCTCTCTGGTTTATTATCTATTGTTATCAATTATTCCTTTGAGTTATTACATCTCCAGTTATTCTGTCACATGACAGAATTAAATGAAAAAATAATTCACAAATTTCCATTCAAATTTCTGGGATTTCAGGAATTTATGGAATATTTCTATTATTTTAATTCTTATTTGAATAAATAATGGGGATATTCTGTAATAAAATATAACGAAATCAATAAAACTTTGGGATTGAATGAATCCCGGACTTACGTCATGTGGCCCCGATGCATAAAATGGAACAGAGCTCTCGTTATTGAATGTAACTCGAGACGACTTTGTTGTGATTTATTCTCAGAACAATAATCACGTAAATAATGTCCATTCAATCGGTGGTAATTCACAGGTAAACTAAAGTCGCAATTGCAGACATTTGGATACATATGGAGAGCTCGTAAAAAATTCAATATCTGTCCAATAACATTCTCAACTCCATGTCTAATCGTTGCGTCAATCGATAAACCGCAAAACCTAAACTTGTTAAAAATTTTATAGGAGAATAAAAAACCAGAGGAATAAAATTCCATGACAGGCTGCAGGCACGAGTGTTGTATGGCATATTTATTTATCTTTAAACTGAAAAATTAAATTAAATCTCAATTACTACTGCCACTGAGATATTTAATTAGAGAATCCATTAAATCCCTTTGAGCCACATAAAAATCATGTGAATCAACCGATAATTTGAGAAATTTCTTTTCAATAAATGGAAAAAAAATTAATTATTTTCATTATCATAATAATCGTTGATTATATGCACGTCATGATATTTTGGTTAACATTTTCAATAATTTATCATATTGGAAATTCCGAAGATAAAATAAAAATTTATTCAGATAGACGGTATAATCTCCATCTGAATAATTAAGAGGGGAAATTGACAAATGTTAATTAAATTTAATATCATCACCGGCAGCCAAGGGTTTATCTTTCGAATTCAAAATGGAATATGGAATGGATAATATGGACTTGGCTCACACCTGTAATTAAATAATACACCATTAAAATCTAATGAAATTCCCTAATAAAATTAACGATTTAATGCAGTCTTTAAATAGTAATTCAGAGATCCTGGAAAGGCAGAGTTATTCAATAACGTTACATACCCATTCATGGGACAAATGCGACCGCCAACATCGAACCTATCAATGTACTCGATATCATCCTTATCGAGCGTGAAATCAAAGACCTGACTGTTCTGAATAATCCGAGATTTAGTCACAGATTTCGGTATCACGACATGTCCCCGATCCAACTATAGAGATAAATAAAAAACATTTTATCAATGGATCGGCGTAACACTGACGATAAAAAGGTAAACGTAATGAGGTTGAACTTGCCTGGTACCGGATGAGAATCTGGGCTCCAGTTTTATTATATTTTTCCTCGAGATCCAAAAGTTTTTTATCTTCCAGTAACTTGGGATCCTCTGGTTTAGCCCATGGCCTATCTGGAGATCCCAAGGGACTGTAGGCAGTGATAACGATGTCCCTTGATTTACAGAATTCCGTGAGTGATTTTTGCGTCAAATAGGGATGACATTCGATCTGAATATGAACAGTAATTTATTTGTGATCGGTATTTTATTCATTACGAAATTAACAGATGAACTCTTTACCATCGAGTTAATTAATGGATAATTAATAGATAATCAATGGATAATCAATGGATAATCAATGGATAATTAATGGTTAATTAATGGATAATTGATGCGCAATCGATGGGTAATTGATGCTCACCTGATTGGCGACGGGTTTTACTTGGCAATTCTTAATCAATCGATCGATTTGCTCGGAATTAAAATTGCTAACACCGATATTCTTCGTCAATCCCTTCTTCAGGACATCCTCCATACCCTTCCAAGTGTCGAGATAATCGGTATTAGTCAAAATAGGAGTGCCATCGGCGTTATTTGGGAATAACTCATCGCCCTCTGCGTAGGCCATTGGCCAGTGGATCAAGTAGAGGTCCAAATAGTCAAGTCCCAGATTTTCCAATGTCTGGTTTATGGCGTGCTCAACTAGATCAGTCGTGTGATAAGTGTTCCATAATTTACTGGTAATGAATAGATCTTCACGTTTAACTACTCCTTCATCAATTTTCGCTTTTAATGCTGCACCCACTTCCCTCTCATTTCCGTAGACATGGGCACAATCGATGTGCTTGTAGCCTACATCAATGGCATCCTTAACAGCTTGAATTACCTCACCGGGTTTTGACTGTAATCAACATCAACAGTATCCAGTTATTAATAATTATTAATAATTTTTTATTATCGGTATTTTCCATTTTTATTCGTATCGAATTCTTACTCAAAATTTTTTCGACATTTTCAGCCGTGAAATTTATCCGATTATTTGCGAAAATCGAAGACCACTTTTAGTCGGCCAATTGGTTATTCAGTTACTTTTTTAATAATTTTTGATCATTTTAATTCATGCGGACTTCTGGTCTTTAATTTTTAATGGCTGTCAAACTCGATTTTCATATTATCGCGCTTTATAATTCGCATGGAAATTGAATTCGCACTCTAAAATTGTAAGTCCGTCATATCCCGTCGTCAAAATCACTCGATTATTTATGAAAATATGAATGAAAGAGACGATGACAATTTTACGGCGTCCACTTGGGCATTCAGTTACATTTTTTAAATTTTGGATAATTGAGATTTCTGCCGGTCTTCTGACGTTCAATTTCAATGACTGTCAAATCCGAATTTGCGTCAGAATTTGTCATTACTCGAGTTAAATTTGCAGGAGAAAATTGAAACGAAACCTATTAAATGAAAATTCAATTTAACAATTAATCTGAGAAAAAATTAATCGAATTATTGACAGGAATTATCGGAGCGGACAATTTAAAAAGTTGTTAAAAAATACATACCTTCCACGTTCCGAGTCCAAAACTGGGAATTTTATTTCCATTGTAAAACGTAATATTCGGAATATTAATTGACATAATTGGAATGAGAGGAAACAATCTGTTGATCCGTCTGTGTAGAAAATCAACCGACGACTAATAGATCCCGCAATTTCGGCAGCGATTTTTATAACCGCACTCTCCATCTCTCTCTGTCTCCGTGTCTTTTTTAATTCGTCAAATCCCCATCGAAAAACGCATGCGTCACATTCATGTACACATCCAGTACCCATTACATTGAATTACATCTGTATGTAGTCGTGGACGGTCATTTTGAACGAGTTACAACTGGACTTTGAAAGTTCCATGGAAAATTCCATAGCTTGTTGGAACTCTCCAGAGGGGTATTAAAATAATAGAGATGATATCAGCCGTTCAAGTATTCCCGACGAATGGGAATCCGGTGAAATTCGCATCTCCCTCCATACAACGAGGAAAACTCCATTTTATCTGAAATCTCCCTTGGAATGCAATCACAAACGATAAAATTCGTCGCTCATTATTTCCTAGCTTTCTCCCTCATTAATTTCCCTAATTCCTTATTTCTTTCTGTCTGTCCATCAAAAAATTTCTACTATAAAATAATACAACAATAACTGAAACTGAACTGAAATTAAAAAAACGATTGAGAGATTAAATAATAATTTTTTTCACTGCTCCATTTGAGTGCAATTAAAATTGATGATTAAAATCTCAGTAAGCGTGATTAGAAAAACGATTTAGAGTGTATGCTCATGGGAAAAAACCCGCGAAAAAAAATAGAGACTGCATTATTGGAATATAAATCATGTAAGTGTCGTGGTATATGGGGATAATTTATCACTGGTTTACACTCCATAAAATTTCCATCCGGGGTATGAGGACCAAAGACCGATGGCAACTCCCCGGCGAAAGGGAGAGGCTAATTTTTCATGATTAGATACATTGATTGAATGAATGATGCAGTGGGTGCTCTCTACTATAGCAGTTTTATTTTTTTAAGAGATATTGCTGTAAATGAGTGTAAATTGTTGAGATTTTGATCATGGAATATTTCACGCCGTTAATCTCAACGTTAAAAATCTCTCTCTCATGCAATAATTTTTTTATGAAACATCGGATTACCCATTTACTAAAAGTATTTGGATCCCATAATTTTCATTTATTAATTTTCCTCGGTCAGATATTGATTCAATTAATTAATTACTCGAATTAGTTTCCCCGGGCTGTTTCAACAGTGGAGTACACGAAAAATAGACATTTTGTGGCCTGTTATCTATTTTGGGATAAATTCATCAGCCAATTGAGATTAATAACGCATTTATAAATAGACAGTCGATTAATTTAATTTCATTCGGTTATTTACATTTGATAATGTTTAATTGGTTTATTTTGAAGAAGAGGAAATATTTTTCAGATTGTGTTGCGTGTTCCATGAATATTAGAAAATACGCCTAGCCATTGGTTTTTGTAATCAAGATATATTGATCCTGTTACATAATTTATTAATGAAATTTCCAAAAAGTGTAAATAGTACAAAATTTTATCGGTTATTACTTGAGGAGAGCGAAGCGCAGGGTATAAAATTCATGTGGAGATTTCATAAATGAAAAAAAAATGGATTTCAGTCTTCATTTTGACGGTGGGATAAAAATGAAATAACATCAAATAATAAATGTAGAATATAAATCTTCGTATATTTACAAGTTTTCATAAATGACGATATAAAATATAATATATTCGATTGTCCATATGGAATAAATTAATAAATAATAATATTTTTTTTTATCGAAATTGACTTGTGAAATGAAAACGCCGAAGCTCGTTACATTCTCATAGGCACTTCGTTTCTAAATATATTCTGCAATCAGCGTGTGATTACGAATATCTATTCCGCTAATTACCGTCATGCGTTTCAAAATCATTTTTTTCTTTCACACAATGCAGGAAAATTCAAATCTACTCTACAAATATACAGATATTTAACCGTTAGAACACAATTTTCACCTGTGAATTGATCATAAATACTGAAAAAAAATCTAAAACAAAATAATTCTGGGGAATCGGTAGATCGAGATGAATTCAATCAATTCCAAAATCAGTTCCAGTTCGTGACAATTTCACGATCTACTGAGATGACGGAATTTTTCAGTAGAATATTCCAAGAGTTTCTCAGAGATTTCAAAAAAAAAATCACTGAGTAAATTTCATGGTGGCATAATTTTTCTCAGAGCAATTGCTCTGAAATGTATGCAAATTTCCGTGGAGTTTTCGATTGAACGGTTTGGCTGTTTTAAAATACATATGTCTGGTTTCTTGTTGAATTTCGACATGAAACTTTCTTATCAGTGAACAATTTCAAGCATCTCAAGTTCTGAACTTGCATTGGGCGCAGAAAAGCCACAATTAAAGTGCAGTTTCGAGAGTTGGAGCACTGGGGCTTCTGGCAACACCCTTGGCACTTCCTGATGGCTGCCTAGGTGATTCAGAACGTGCCCGGAATCCCATACGATATTGATCGCTACTTGTTGATGATCCTGTTAAAAATTCAGCTCTTGCGCGTTGATTTCTCACTCTGCGTGATTCAGATTCTGAATCCATGGGTTTTTCTGAATTTCCCCGATTGTCAAAATTCCTCGTTGATATTTCTGAATAACGATTGATCGATGAACTTGTCGGTTTTTTAATAGGAGATATTGAACACATGTCCAATTGTCTCCTAGTTCTCAGTCTGCCATGAACATTGTGGATGGAATTCTCTGGCGATAACTCCATGGCTCGTTCCTCAGCCGCTGCATCCTCGACAATAGTTGATGACAGAACATCACTTCGTGGAGTTTGAAATCTCCAGATGGACCTGGGGCTCAGGGCTCTAGCCAGAGATGGCTGTGGAGGTGGAGACTGTTGGCTTCGGTGCTGGTACTGAGGTTGACACTGTTGACGGGATAATTTTAATTGCTCCGCTGCCGACACTCGACTCGGGCCCATTTTCGTACTCTGTTGGAGCAGAAGACGCTTGAAATCCATTCTCGAGGTCGATGACTGAGATGAAATAGTCGGGGGCACCTGCAATTATTTCAAAATTACAATGACAAACCTCATAATCTAATACTGGTGACGTGAACTTGTCGAATTATTCGTATTATTTTCTCCTGAGAATGAAAATCGAATTATCCTCGAAATATTAATTACCTCAGGAGTACTAGTAGACTCTGGACTCCAACTGTGTCTCGTTCCAGTCTGACTAAATCGGCTATCCAACGATTTTGTTCCATCACCCAAATGATCTCCATCATTCCTTATATTGAGCTTTCTTTTTGATTTATGAATAGCCGTAAACAGCTCTTCATTCGACATAGTACTCCTGGTGGGTGATAATAATCCATTAGTGGGTGTGGTTCTTCCCGAGGACGATGCGACAGACGCTGAATCGCTGTAGGTCTCTTTGGTAGCGAGCGTGGGTGTAGAATAGGCATATGGATTGCCAGCGAGTGTTGATAATCTCTGGGCGACAGTAGGATTGGATTTAGCTGATGGTTTAATCGGAATCGGTGATACGCCAGGGTGATTTGAGCTATCGGTTGTTGACCGATCGTGAGGTTCCAGTGGAGATGAGGCGAAAAATCGGTAGCCCCGAGCAGTCAGGCCCAGTGGTGCGAAGAACCTAAAAATTCCAGAGGATGATTGAACTCTTCTCGATATACCCGCAATAAATTCAACAAAGAGATGATTGAATTTGAAATTGATATTTACCTATTTCGTGAGTCCACGGGAGCCGATATGATCTGACCATTATGATGTAAATTTTTACGATCACTGACCACTGGGCTATTCCGATGTTTGCCAAGTCCCCTGGTGATGTCTGGGGTAACACATCGAATAGGATCTCTTATTTCCCTCTGGGGTTTCCGATTTGGCAGTGTATAATATTGATTCGGCGTAAACACTGGCTTTCTACCAATATAGTGTCTTGAATCGTGGGTTATTCTCTGATGAGGAATATTACGGCGATGTGAGTCGGTGTTGCTGTCCTGTGAATCTTTATCCGTTGATTTATTGATATCCTCCTGGCGTAGTCGCCACTCCTGGGGCTGAGGGGGTGATACGTATGGCGGTGGAAATTGTTGAATAGCCTGAGACGGTGTTGGCTCAGATGAAAAGGCTAGCAACCCATTATCTGAAACACACCGCACAATAATTCCTCCAACAAAGGCTAATAATTTCGTTATTATCTTAAACAGATTGTGAATGGCGGAATGTATTTGGGTGAAAGCAGAAATACAATGGGTGTAGCAGGCATTAATTCTCCGATTTGAAGCTCATGTTTTTAACTTGAAAATATAGTATGATGTACTCACCCAGTGCCGAGCCAAGATAAGATGTGGTTATTTATTGTGCATACCCGCGTACAAATGCATTATATTAATGATTAATACACACATGTGCATTCTTTTAATGAAGGATGCCAAACACAACTAAAATGAGTGCTCAACTATTGAAAATAATAGTGTAATGTTGGTCATTTACCCATATATACACAGTCTATTAAATATGTACATTAACATTGATACATATGATATGAAAAAAAAAAGTGCAGTGGTGCAATGGCATATGAAATTCACAATGAAAATAAAAAGTGAAGATGGAAAACTTTCAATAAAAAAAATCTATTAACATACAAGTAAACAGTTATAATGGAAAAAGTCAAAGGAAATTCGTTTTTTAACACAAAAAAAAAATGGTGAATGATAAAACAATGATGAAACGGTGGGAAAATACCGAGTCTGTGATAAAAATAAATAACGATGAATATTAACTAATTGTCGGTGCATTCCAAGCGGTAATTATTAGTCGGTGATGTACATGTACGTGCAGTGCAATTGAAGATGCAAACGTAAACGAGTGAAAATAATTGAAATAAAATGCATGAGTGCAATTAATACTGGGAGTCATTCCTCTGTCTATTCTCCCGATCTCAAATTCGATCTTTCCCCACTATTTCTGGGTGGTGACAGGTTTACACGAAAAAAAGACATGATTCGTTGAAGAACATTTACAACAATAAAAAAATAATAACTACATGATATGAGCAAAAAAAAAACTAGAATGATAAATCATTTTGCAAATAAATTATACAACGCATAAAACCATTTACAACTATACACAAAATATCGTGAGCTTGCCATCCCAGGCTGCAAGATTGCGTCAAGTATTAGTGCAAGCGATTTTTGAATAATTTCCATTTAAAATAATATAACATTTTTACACATTAGTTGCTGTTAGTCAATAAAATACAGACGCATACTCACAACATGAGGATAGCAGGCCATTAATTAAATATTCATGGGATTCATTCCATGATCTTAATGACATGCGCATTAGGAAGCAACTGTCGATTTGTGCACAATTCAAACAAAATATCTATCCCTTTGTATACACTGGCAGTTGTTAAATAACATTAATACAATCACATGTTTCAATTATCAATAAAACAATGCCTATTTCGAAATCACGTGGATACATTATCTCGTCAATATGCCCATTATTTATCGAGAACATTAGCGATGATTCGCGTGTGGAAAAATTGTTACATTGTGCAATAACGATATCGGCTTTATAAATCACTGACAATGAGGTCGCAAACTGAATCCCTAATCGCTCTTAATACTGCACGTGTGATCGTTGAGATTAGAGTAATTCGGGTTAAATCGAGCGCTCATTTTTTCACACAATTATTCACATAATCGAGAACGGTTATTCAATCACTAGGTGATTAAAAGCCATCTGTCATAAACAACTGTCAAACCTTTATCAGTACTACCAAGATTTCGCTCTTCGAATGTCAATTAAAATTACGTGTTTACAAATTATTTTTAGCCCATTTGGTTAAATGATTCTAATGAGAATTGGTGAAACCATGAGATATTTATGGCTATCCCTGTGGCGATTATTCTCAGCTAAATCTGGACATGGAAAATTACGGTGTGAATATTAATTGTAATTTTAACATGTTGAAAGGACTGGCAAAAATCGTTAACAGGGTGTTAATGGCTTTATTGAAACATTGTGGGAGTTATTACGGAGATAGATCCTTTTGGTTCATTAACATTTGATGTGATTAAAGAGGACTTACGGGATCGGCGTGTTGCTAGGAACAAGAGATGCCTGGCAAGCATTATTCCCTGTAAATATTTATTCGATAAAAATCTATTCCGCTGACATTCAGTCAATTTTTTCGCTCGATAGCCAGCGTTCGGCGACCGTCCGTCTAATGAAACGTGATGTCCAGTTCTTTACCCCACCATACCGCTTGTCTTATCAATTTTAAAAATGACCTTTTTATCAACAACTGTAATTTCCACTTATTCTCAATTCCATTATGAAAAATGGTTCATACAGTTTGAATATTTAAAAAATTTATCACAGCCTAAGCGAAAAAAAAAAAATAAAAATTGGAGTGATCGGTTGCGCTCGTCGGCGATCACTAGTCGACAGACGTTTGGAATTTTCAATATATCCCCCCAGCGAAGCACAAAACCCTTGCAGTCGCTCATCAAAGTGAATAAAAAAAATGACAAGTAGGGGGAAAATTTCCTCTGCAAACATATATCTAGTAATCAGACGGGATAAACATCGACGACTGACGCAACTTGGACAATTGTTGAGACATGCAAGTTGAATGCAGCCGATAAGGGATAAAGGAAGGTCAATTTACAAATACAGTGGTCTCTTATTTCATTTTTTTTTCCTCTCTATACCATCATTAATCCCCAACTGAAAACCGGTGATTGTCGATTAAGGTGCATTGACCCCTTGAAAATCATGAGACAATAATCAGACGCACCTTCCCCATGGATAATCTCTTATTCAACTCCTACCATATTTCTGTGTCATTGCTCGAGTATTTGAGTACACGTGCTGGCTCGATATCCTGTGCACGTGGCCGAGGAGTCATAGGTGAACTCACCCGAGAATTATTACTACTCCAACTTGAATCTGAAAAGTCATTTGTGCTTTCCACAATCGTTGGACTCGCTACACTATCGGGATAATTAATTCTCTCTTTCATCAAGTCCTCCCGCAACTCCTCGGATGCTGTTCTGATAATTTTCGTCGATCTATCCGCATTGCAAGATATTTTTTTAATGAACAGTATCGGACTATTGGCCATTCTGTAACTCTCACTACGTTTTATCTTCCTCTCACGAATCGATGGATTTTCCACTGTCTCCATTATAATTTTTGTCTCACCATGATTGAAATTGGTTAAACTACCACTTGGAGACGAATCAAAATTGGAAATTAAGAGTTTTCTTGTTAATTTCGGTGTATTACCCTTGGCGCGTAATATCTCGGGGCAGTAATCATTTTCTTTATAATTCAATGTATCCACGCGACTCTTGATTGTTTTATTATCGAAATGACACGTATCCGAGGTCAATGTCCTTTGTATTTTTCCCTTGTTACAGTCAGTGCCATCGGTGCAATCAGTTGACTCATGTACACCATTATTTTCCGTCCTCTTACCTTCCTCGCTCTGCACGTTGACATAGGCACCACGTGTTTGCTTTTCACGTTCGTTTTTTTCAGTCGTACGCTCGGGACTCTTTCCAGCCCGGATTACGAGTTTACCCGGTCTTGGGATACGCTCCGATTGTTTTGTTGATACAGCACGAATTTGGGGCTGGGCTCGTCGAAACATTGGCGAAGCTGTGGGAGATGGAGTTGAACTTGTCTCTTTCACGAATGGACCTGAAACATTATTTATCAAACAATAATCAACATGATCAATTTTTTAAACCGTTAAAATACCATTCTTACCTGGATTGAAAGTGGTATGCGTTCCCTTTCGCCTCTTGAGACTGTCCGACGAGTAAACAACTTTTCCATCAGAGTCTAGAGTGACTCTCGCACCCTGTCGCTTCCTCTCCAGCGATGAATCCGGTTTTTTCGGCAATTCACTGAGACTTATGTACTCAGTGTCCCTTCGATCATGCTCCAATAATTCACCGTTGGAATAAATTAATTGATTGGCATTCCGGCCTTTGTCATTATTATTCCTCACGTCGGCTATGGTAACATAGTCGCCAGAGTCATGACAAGTAGGCTGTGTCTGTGGAATAATTTCAGTCTTCCCTGGTTGCTTCCGACTCAGTGGTAAAACACCACGAATTCTATCCAACATGCCACTGAGGGGACTTGTCTTGAAAGGTGCCCTCTCAGCTGGTGGTTCTCTAGTCTTTGGATCGATTGTTTGAACAGTGGCGTAGAGATTCTTGTCCTGGCCATTGATCACTTCCATTTTTGATGTTCCAACTGTTGCTGACATGAGAACAGCACCGGGACTATTTGTCTCAATGCCATCGGTTTTTTTGTTAGATGAGTCCTGAGGGATCTCTTTACTGGTCTCATCGTCAGATCCTGGTGGTGTTATGACACACATGGAGGGAATTCTGCTCGTATTTATCGCAGTTTTCGATCGAATTCTCTCAATTCTGTCGCAACCCTCGAGATCACTCGATTCAGAGTACTCCAGCTCAGAGCATGATCTCCCTGTGCAAGCCGGACTTGATGCTGATTCGACAGGAGATGAGGACGTGTTGTGTCCACTGTCCGGTGATTCTCCACCATTTTTATTCTGACCGTGAACCTGGAATATCAAATTTTAATCAATAAATCATAAATTATCCCATCGGTCTCCACCGTAAATCGGTGAAATAATAAATTCGAAAGAATAAAAGAATGCGTTGTCTTTTCGACCGACTCTTAGATAATTCTATTATCGAATAAATATAGCATGAATTAAAATTCGATTTTATCATTTTCAATTGATTAAAAGTGATGGAATAGTGACACGACAAGGGCATCAGTGTGTGAAGGGGAGAAAAAATAATGTCGAGCTTGACCCAGCGAGTTTATCACCCGTTAAATATTGCATAATCTCCTGATGGAAACAGATAACTCACCATCGCGACAACAGTGAGACTGGACTTCCTCTCTGGTGGTGGTGGTGCAAGAAGAGTAGTACAAACAGTTCCCGCGGAACTAGTGGTAGTCGAAGTGGAACCCCTCCCAAATAATTCATACTCATTCTCAACAAGAGGTGATAATGAATCAGGACTGACTTCATTGGATTTTGTGAGGGGTGCCTGGGGGATAGTCTCCTCCTCCCTGAGGGTCTTAAGTCCTGAATCCATGTGGAAAGACGTGTAATATCCCTCAGTATCGCAGGAATAAACTGAGCAAGTCTCCCCTTCGCCCTCAGCATCATCCGAAAACGGAATTACACCAATATCCTGAATAATATCCGGGGTGAGAGTTCCCTCGGACGTCACAGATGACGAAGTCGATGTATCCCTTCCCCTTAATCTCCTTGCATGACTCAATGATATCGAGCATGTGCCAGTTGATGTTGTCGTTGTTGATCTCGGTGGATTGGTCGTTGTTTCACTTCCTATACTCGCTCTACCACTCTCTGATGACGCACTCCAATTACCAGAGCTCGAGTGTGGTGGATCATCACGATTATTTCCACCTTTTCTCCTCTCCCTTTTTTGGGCAGCGCATTCGCGCAATTTTACTGGCCTCTCCGGTAATGGTATCGATACAGCGATACTAGATGCTATACTTTTACCACTTGAGCTCGATGAACTCGGTTTTCTCTCGTGTGATTTATCCCTCTTTCTACGCTGTGTATTTATCATTTCGTATACATTTGTATCGTCACACGATCCTTGCGCCTCACGTGATTTCTTATCGATTTTGTTGTCATCGTATTTTGGGCTTATTAATTTGAGACGCGACATACCCCAGGCTCGCAATGTGTCAAAGTGCCATTTTCTCTCGGTTGGTGATTCCTTTTTACCCAGTATATCTGTACTTGCTGAACGGTGAGCTCTGCCTGGGGAGTCGTCAGATATAATCTCATCCTCTCGAGCTGAAGCATCAGCCTCGTGAGTTGTCGACTCTCTGATGCCATAAAAACATATTTTTATTCTTCATGAGATGTGAAAAATGTTGTAAAGAGAGAAGCTTAAGCCGCTTGGATTAGCAAAAATGGAGGAAAGGGGATGAGGATTACTTACTCTCCAACTGCTCGACGAATCTCCTTTCTGTCCGTTCCAGCTATCGTATTTCGTCTCTTTCCCCGTGGCCTGCGCGGTCGTGATCTACGTTTCACGCTTGCATCCTGATTTTCACCTGTTGGCCGCGCAGATAGCAAGGATCTCCTTCTCATGGACATTCTCTCGAAACCACGACCACTCACATCCACCGCTACTATTTCCGCTGGGAATCTAATCCATCAACATGAGTAATCCATTAATTTTTTTCTCTCTTTCTTTTTTTATAATGACAGAAGTAATTGGCTATATAATTCTGTGCATCGGTAGTCGCCAAGAATGTTGAGCCGATAAATCAAAATCTAATCACAAAATACGCGGAAGACGAGAAATTATTCCTCACTCGAAGGATTAATTTTTTTTGAAAATCAGATTTGAGAAATGAAAATTGCGGAAATTCTCGAGATCGTTGGACAATTACAGTTCAATTTTTAATTGAACATCATTAATTGAATCTTATGGCTATTATATCAGGGAATTGTCAATTAATTAATATTATCCTGGGGGAGAGCCGAAGAATAAAATCCATGAAGACATACTTGAGAGCGATGGCTTGAACCTGCTCCTCCGGACTAGGCAATTTATGATCAACAGCATCATCAGCCACCAGCTCCTGAAGAATCCTCGACGCGCAGTCCGGTGGGACCGTGATATCACCAAGGGCTTCACTGGACGTCCATCTTCTCAAGTCCTCCAAAACGGCGGGCTAAAGCCAAAGAAAAATAAAAGAACTCAAATGAAATATTCCAACGAATGTAAATACCGTGCAAACAGGTTTATCTGCAATCTGTCAGTGGCAGGGACCATTCAGCGCTAGACTGTGATCCAGTGGTGGCATTTTTACCTACATAAGTCCCTGAAAGCCGGTACCACGATAAAGAAAGAGAATGGAGACCGACTTGTCTTTCATCTGGAAAGATGATAGAGTTACCCACGTCCACTCTCTGCATCCCTTGCGTAACGATATTTCCAACATCTCTGGTTAACACGTGTTATCTTCTCTCCATTGCAATTATCTTGATTTGCAAAAGGAAATTTCAAGGAAAAATGGAAGAATGAAAGCGGCAAAGGGATTCAATCATCGATCCTATCATCAGTGATATGTCGTAATAAGCAATTAAATGGAGGATAGTATTTCGTACAGCGATGGACCAATTCAGGTATTATCTGGACACCCGTTAGTGTCCAAGGTTCCTGTAGCCATACACCTTGAGACTCGTTACGGGTCCCAAGAGAAACCCTACAACACGTAGTGGGAGGAATTCCAGCGTTGCCGGATCATGAACGAAACGGCGCGTCGGCATTTTTTTTAGGATTTTTTTTTTCCCCTCTTTTCTCCACTTTATCTTTTATTTTTTAAACGTTTGGTTCATCTCAAGTTTGGAAGTTGGAGGCCTGGAGGACGTATTGGAGATGTACATTGGGACTTGGGGCCACCCGCTCTGTTCTCGCTCGTGCCCTGTTATTGCCGTTTGTCAACGCTCAAGATTTGCGCCCACCCTGGAGTAACCTTCACCACCTTCCAACTACACCTGCTGACGGACTTTCCGAGAATTCGGATCGTTTGAGATCGGCTATTTTCAAGGTGTGGTATATTTACAGATCTCATCTCCCATTCGGCGGTAAAAAATCACAGGAAACAATTGTCCAAGAGTTGGATTGGAGAATTTAGATAATCATCCGGTGGATAGTCTTAAAGACAATTTATTGTTCACCATTTATTTTTTCGTAAATGAATAACGAAGAAAATGGTAAAGGAGAATGATGGGAGGCTGCGATAAATAATGTCGTTGATAAGTAGTAGATAAGTTTAATGAGGGAGACCTACCACTCGAGACTCAATGTCCAGACTCTGGTCCCTTCTCCTTTTTCCAAGCACTGGAGTGCACAGATACATTTCCATGGAACTTCCATCCTTCTCTCTTCTGAGACTATCCAAATTTCGTACAGCAACTGTTGCAGCAGCATCATACAATTGTTGGAGTGCACGAGGTCTCGTAACCGACGCAAAGATACCCGTTATTGGCTCTCGTGATGCTTTGAAGTGGTCCTTTCTCAGTGCAAATGTGCATATGTCCGATTCCGCTGAAATAAGAAAGAGCCGATTATTTAGATGAATAATCGAATGAGAGGAGTGAAAGGGATATTTTTTATTTTCACTTTTTCACTTTGCCGTTTGTTCGGTTTCTAAGAATTAACTTTATTGTCCTCGTTTCTCTTCTGATGACTGGACGCGTGTTTGTCCTCAACTTCAAAACGTGAATTGACAATAGGTCTTTTTGTCCCACTCAGCTAGTCCGTTTCTCTTTATATTCAAATAAATTGTTTTTCTCGTTGAGGGGACGTGAAAACCACTTGAAAAGTAATTACCAAATTTCTCACATAACAGCTTTCATGAGAAAAAATTCGTGCTATTTATATCTGACATCAAGGGACTACCGAAGGGTTCACATCGTAAATGGAACACTGATTTATCGAAGTAAAATCATTTTAGAATTTCAATGTTCTACAAAAAACGAAACCACAATTTCCAAAATTTCCAAAATTCCCATAATTTCCATAATTTCCATAATTTCCATCATTTCCATAATTTTCCATAAATGCCAATAAATTAATTAATGAACGACTGAAAATGGAAATTGTCCTAATGAATTATTCGATGAGTGATTGAAAATGGAAATTGGAGTCCAGAATAATTTGGACTCGTGGAGAGTGAAATCAGTCCATTGGGGATTTTGGAGAGGAAATCAATGCGTTGAATGAAAAAAAATCATTCAAGTGCTTGTGGGACGTGGGAAGATGCTGTAGGAACAGCAAAAATTTATAAAGCTAGAATACAGTTGCCCTTCGACCGTACGAGCAAACTGGCATGATGGCTCAGCTCGGCTGACCATGCATATACGTGGGTCGTTCATCGTAAAGTGCAACGACCCTCTCTTCACATTCATCCCAAGTGTCGCAGTTTCCCTATCGTCTCTCAATCTTTCATTTCCACCCCATGCCCCAACCTCCCAAAATTATCAATTACCAAATGAAACTCTTCAACCCCTTATCACCAATCTGACAGACCACGCACTACCCCAGACCGATGGACTCATAAAAATTTATCGAAATTCCAGTCTCCTCCCATTAATTTTCAATTATCCAAATTCTGATTGAATTTCAGTCTAAGATATTCGGGGAATTCAATAAAATTTCTACTTCTATTTATTTTTTATTTCTTCAGTAGAAATCCAAAAATGTGACACTCTGCATTTCCCCTGAAATATATTTACATATTCCGTTATTTAGATTACTGATAAAAATGAAAGAGACTAACTGATTCGTCAATAAAGAATTGTATATAATTTTATCGGGAAGACTTTCTATTGTAATTTTCCAACAGTTCGTTTCACCCAGTGATATCGATCAAAACCGAGACCTAAAATAAAACAAAACCCCAGGAATAATCAAAGGCTTTGAACCGGAAGTTGATCGAGTCTAGTGACTATTGTTGCTCTGTCCATTTGAATTAAAATGAAAAAAAAAAAAACATGTACTCCTCCTGCAGAAACATTAGACTGCCAGGAAGCCCAATATTCCCTTCGATATTAGATACCTCTTCCTCTTGGCTTTTTTTTATCGCAGGGCTTCTCCCTCCCGAACTCTTCCTGTTTCACCTGAACCCGATCCCCGAAATATTATCGCAATAATCATATTCCTCTGCACATAATTCCATAATCGTTAGGAATTATTTTCTCTCGCCTCTTCGAGCTCTTGAGGTTTCGCCGGCGAGTGGCTCTCATTAACTCTTGGATTGACTCAGTTCGCCCTCAATTTTGGAAATTAACCTCTTAACAATGTGACATTATGATCCCCTCTCTGTACTCTCAATTGCTTAATTAATTCCGTCCGGCATTTTTCTGTCCAGTCACGACACTTTCTTCAAACGTTGACCTTTGAGACACACCACTCAGATATTTTTCCCCGTATATATTTTGACAGTGAATAATCATCACTATTTATTGACTAACTGTCATCAACAGATGAAATTATTTATTTATCCCACCGATTGATGCTCTCACGTCAATGAAAATAACGGTCTGATGCGTCAGTCGAATGAACTGAGATTTGTCAAATTGAACTCATTGTTCTCTAATTCTTTCCTTTGAATTTCAACGAATCAACTGGCAAACGAAAAAAAAAATACAATTACTGTGCAGACTCTCCAGCTATTGGCTCATTTCCCATGAAAAAATGAGCTAAATAAAATGAAAGTGTCAACGTACACACCTCCAATGAGAATAAAAAAAAGAAATGCCACTGTAGAGAAATGGTGAATTGGAGAGGATCCAGAATTGTCACAGCAATGCGTAAAAATGTTCTTTTCTCCCCCAGAAGATGGTAGACGAGCTTCAGCCAAATGGATTTAAGCCAACTCAAGCCCCATTCATTTAGCCCAGCTTAGGAGTGGCTGCCAAGAGTGATTTTAAACAAAATATCCTCTCCCCTTTCGTTTAAATTAACGATAGATTTACTCCTTGCGGCAGACAATGCGGCGATATTATCAAGATGATATCGATTTCGTCAAATAGCGAACAGTGATGTTGAAAGGTACTGGAACTTGTGGGTTCAGTGGTTGTGGTGGTTAAAACTGGTTCGCCCACCCATGCTTACTGTACTTGGGGATGGCTCAACACACTGTTGAATATAAATCTACGAAGTACACTTGGTACTTGCCAATACGACAATTGCATCTACGTGATATTGAGTTGGTACATAGCATTGAATTCACCTGGTGTAGACATTGAGCACCGACTGGGTGAGTTTTTCCCCATTGGGTTTTTCGAGAAAGAGAATCGATAGCCACCGGTTGGTGAGGCCGTCAGCATCAAGCTTATAGAGGACGATGAACCGCTTGGTTCATCGGTTACATCGTATCCACAGTACCAATGGCTTCCTTATTTGGCCGAATGCAACTGAAAATATATGACTCCCTTAGATTTTCTCTTGAATGTACACAGGGTAAAATTCTCTGTCACAAGTCCGTCTTTTACGACTCACAGCAAAACCACACCGTCAAATTGCTGGTATACCATTCCGGTCTACCACTCGTGTCTCGTACACACGTATTAATGTGCAAGTATAAATTTTCAGACAGCAAAATCGTCTGTATTAAACTCCTGAGAAAGATGAAAGAGTTCTTGTGAAGGGCAACAGTCGAGCAATACGTATATGGAGACGAGAAAACAGCTACAAGTATCTTTTGCGGTTGTGCAGGATCACCTCCCCTCTTTTCATGAGCATTTATCGTGGAATGTACCGATGTCCCCTGAGTATCTCACATTCACATTCACCATCGCAAGATACTCTGGTTGTTATTGATTCTCTTTATCACTCCCGCTTCATTCATTAGCTCCACAAAGATCTGGAGCATCTCGACAATTCTTCTTCGAACTCGGAGTAAATGTTATCCTATCTCCAACAGCACAATGATGTATTGATTCTGTTCTCGTTGTCGGTATCACTTGAACAGATTATTCAGAGATTAATTTAATCGTCTTAAAAAGACCTGTTCCATTCGGTTCCACTCGTGTCATCTGTTCCCCGATGGTTTTGCTTTGATATATACTACTGGAGAATGAAGTCTAGTGGAGAATGAAAAAATGTCAATTTCCAGGTGTCCTGGACAGCTTCAACCCTCGGGGAATGATTTTTTTTTCATTATATGGATCTCGTTCGTGCAATTTTCTCTTTATTCATCAGCAATTCGAGAGCATTCACTTCACAGTGAATCGACCAACCGCAACATTATTTTTGTAACAATACAATAGACCATCGAGGGCACGTCATCGCATGGACAAATTCAACATCTGTCTGTATCCCGGTTCCGTTTGCCCTCGTCGATCCTCGTACTCCAATGAGGAAAAAAGGGTGAGGCATCACACCCCATCCACTTCTGCATTTATTAGAGCACTTCATCTACAATCCACTCGCTCCTTTTGTTTTTACTCAATCGTTTATCCCATTAACTCGCATTCAATTTACGAATCAACATGTTTATAAATTTTTCAGCCCCGGGCAGGTGCTGAATACCACCACGTGCTCCCCGGGACAGCTCCTGGCACTTAATGCCGTCATTATCGCACGAAATTCCATAACGAAAAAAATAATTCAAATAAAAAAAAAAACGTTATTCTACCCCTGTCCCACGGACACTCGACCGTTGCGTGCAAACGTGAAACGGAAGTGCAAGTCCCGTGTTTTCGTCAGTACCCAGGATATAATTTGAGACACGAGTTGATTATTTGCACTCAAGTCAACGTCAATTGCAGTTTTAGTACCCGATGGAAGATAGCGGAGAGGCATAAAAATATTTATTGAATGGTTAATCGTAATTCTATCAGATAAAACCGCCCCTCGATTTTTTTTTATGATACTAAACGAACTTTTATCGCATTTTTTCTTCATCATTCGGCGGTCAACCGGAGACAAAAATAAATAACTCGGGTGTTGAATAAAGTGATTAAAAATATCGTAAAAGTGGTCTGGAATGAAATATTAGAGCTTTACCCCGGGGTGTCACGATAACCCTCTTTACTGAGAAGTGCCAGGCCCAGTTTTTATTACCCTCTCACTCTACCGTCATTTTAACCCACCCCTCGGGGGTTACCTTTTGTATATTATATATTTTTTTTTTCTCACATACTGGATAGAGAACACTTCGGTCGGGCTTCTCTCTTTTCCACCACTTCCGTTTTGCAGCTGTTTACACGTATACATTTTCTCTATCACACTCGCACAAATTTCGTGCGTGTATTTATTATTTCGTCTCACTTCGAGTATTTCTCGGATCAAACGGGCCAAGGGTACCTATTCCATTGCCAGGGCATGAAACATTTACACTTACCGTCGAGAAGAGGGTGTCTACGTTTAATTTTAGAGTAAAGACTCAAATGGCACGCGCACGTGCCAGTTTTAAAAAAAAAAACCCCTGAAGACACCGAACGCATTCTTATGCTCGGGTATATATTTAAATGGACCCCATTTTTATCCCTCAATATCATAAATTCAAGGCATTATTTACAAATAAAGACGAATCGATGTCTGTTGACTAATTTTACCCCAGCGTTATCCAGTTGGACATAAATTTATGAGCACCAGAGAAATGGAAAATGTGTGGGTGTGTCATAGGGGCCCGATGGATTAGCAGCTGGTGAAAAAGTTGAGGAATATTTTTAGATACAAGGAACAGGAAATTCTCCTTCCTCATTGTATCTTCCTCATTGCATCAATCACTTCCTATTCCGGAAGAGGTCATACGAAATAATCCGTTCTAACTCCTCAACCCGAGTTCAAGACAATTTTTTGTCAGTTGTCTGGGAAGTTGAAAGTTTTCTCAACGAAAAAGTACAACTGTTTATTTGACGCAGCGAAGATGCAGTTGGAGTGCAACAAGGGAGTCTTTGTAGTGCCCTAGGAGAATTTGTGGGAGAAAGATAAAAGTTGAGAGAGAATATTAAGGAATATATCGGGGCCAAGGCTGATCCAGTGGCATCGTCGGGCGCCGGTCTCTAGACATAATCCCTCTCTGTTGCACCAGTGGTGAATGGAAACAGCAAAAATCTCTTGGTTGTGAGATTTTTTCGGTTGTGTGTTACACTGTCGTTCCCACGGCCCATTGGGCCCACTGGGCCCATGGTAGGTAGACACTCAGGAGAGTTTCACAGCAGGCAGACGAATCGTTGGTGATTTTCTCTGGGTTCTTGTGTGTGTGTGTGTATGTGTGTATGTTAGTTGCATTTGTATTCGTAAATAAGACGAATAGTGAGATGGGAAAAAGACGGTGGTAACGCGTTCAGGTAACGACTAAAGAATTGCCCACAGCAATACGCTTTCACTTGAAGCCCAACTCTCGCACTCACCGAGATCTCTTCTCATTTCATCTCATTTCATCTCATTTCATCTCGGTGCAGTCGTGGGTAAATGATAATAACAGAGTACACCAGCTACGGTCTAACATGGAAATGCCATTCCAAAAACCTGTAGGCATATTTTCAAAAAATTCTCTACTTCGTAATTGAGGGGAAGATTTTACTGCGCCAGCGCATTTCTCTGGTTTTTTCCCTTTTTTCGTTCATTTCTGGGAAATCCGGGATCAGATTGAAATGAATATATAGATGAATAAATATATTTATTTATTTATTTATATTATTTATATAAATGCATTTTTTAAAAGGATCAGAAAAATGAAAAAATGATAAAACAAAATGCATGAGTGGAGTATGTTTGAAGATTTGGATTTTTTTTTTTAGGTTTTCTGGGTGGAGCCGCAGTGAGGGCCGCAGTGAGGGTTCCTAGATCTCCAAAGTCTTGGGAGGAATGCAATGGTTTTCTTTCTTGGAATTAGTGAACTGCTGGAAAATCTAATCGAGGTGACTATCACGGAGACAGGTCAGTTGCCATAAAATTTAATCGTGGGAATAAATAGTGGTGATTACTTACGGACTGGTATTTTCTTTGGATCGATGCTCGCTAATCGATCGTCCAGTCGATCGATTCTTCGTCGGAGTACGCCACTCCTGTCTGCTACACTTGTTAATTCCGCTGTTAATTCGCCAAATATATCCTCGGCAATGGATAATAGTGATGCAAGTTGTTTTAAGGTACTTGCTAATGCGCCATTCGATACAGCACCCAATTCTGCACCAACTGGCCAAGTTTCTGCACTCGTTGCATTCTGCGGCACGTGCCCACGTCCAACGTATCTTGGCTCGATTTTTCTCACGACGAACGGCATACTTTGTGATTGTCGACCGGTTATCGCGCATAACAAATAATCACAAGTCGTTGCCGATGATAGACGGGTTTCGTAACACCAGTGACAAAAAAATATATGTATATGTGAAACGGGTTTCGACTTATCGTAACGATTTTCTCGTAATCCAAGTCACCGTCTTGCCGATCTTGGATCGAGATCCGGTCCTTTCGTTGGATCCTTTACCTGAGGATCTGGAGCCGATCGGCATCGTCATTCCCTCCACACCCATCTCTCAATCATTCACGTTTTTATTCTTCTACATACCGATTTTATTATTACACAAATATTACCTTCACGATCACTGAAGTATTAATTATTCAATTTTCACAATAAAACTGTCACTCATTTTTTATTAAAATCCACATTAAATCGGTGGAAAGACGCGTCTATGTTTTCGGCTGCGGAATTAATTACGCCGTTTTGTGTACACTTACGACACATTGTTATACCGATTTTTAGTGAAACATAGAAGAGTGAAAATAAATATTAACAATGTTTGCGGTATATGTAGCCGGTGATTGGAAATGAACAAAGCGATGGAAAAAGTTGCCGATAAATTTTATGTGTTTTCGTACGTGACGAGTCATACGGAGCGCGGGTAATGTTTTTTAATCTTTTATTTTTTAAGAACGTCACAAATTCGTGTAGACGCTGATCGACGCTCGTCGGCCGAATGCTGGCTGTTTGCTATCCTCCAATGAGTGAAACCCTGTTTGCCGGTATAACACGAAAACCCAGCAGGTTCCCTTTCACGTTCTATTTTCAAATCCACCAATCGCCTTTCGTTCTTCGTCTCTTCCTTCTGATTGGTCACGTGATCGAATCCATCGGTAAAACAGATGTTTCACTTTTAGTTCATTTTCTCCCACTATTTTCACACAGAGGGCAGATATGTATGATCAAGAATTTTTTTACAGTTACTTTGTCCTTTTAGTTAACTTCATCTTATTGTATTTATTCAGTTGAGAACCAGTGACAGAGCTTTACTGATAGTGCCGATCCTCTGGGTGGAATTACAATGCTAAAAAATACTGGGTAATTAAAAAATTTTTTATCATAATTCGGAATTTTTCGGAGTTTCCGCTGTCAAATCGCGGATTTTCCCAGGATTTGTGAGAATTCGAGTGATTTTGAGGCATTAAAATTTGGAAAATATCGTAAATCAGCCAGAGATGCAATGGCAATTACTTGATGGACATGTAATAATAGATTAATCGATCTCATTTTGAATTTTAGACTTCGATCACGTACCTTATGCTTAATATTTTTTTTTACTTGTGATTTGATTAGATATTGACGTGTATTAGATTTAATCGCCTGTATCAATTTTTCAACATTCTCTCTTCTTGGAATACTAACAATTTTAAATATAAATGGAATAATTGTAATAATAAATGAAAATCTAGTAATATCACCTTCTGAAGATGATTCTACAAATAAATTTAATTACCTCTGAAATTAATGTATCCGGTGGACTTTAATCGTTAGAATTACTTGCATAAATCATTTTTCTTCATTCTGAACCTGATAATATCGGAGTAATATTGCATCTCATTCATCGTGAGTTGATACAATCACCACTGTTACATACTATGAATATGTATAATTGTTACGAATGTAGTCTTAAAAAAGCATTCACCGGAAATTGGTTCGTAAATGAGTTGAAATTCGTAATATCAAATCACCATATATTTCGATTCTCTTGAATAATTTTTCCAGAAAACTCGCTGGGAAGACATTATTCATTACTGGAGCTTCCAGAGGAATTGGCAAGACTATTGCCTTGAAAGCAGCTCAGGATGGAGCTAACATTGTGATATGTGCTAAAACAGCTGAGCCGCATCCAAAATTACCGGGTACTATTTACACAGTAGCGACAGAAGGTAAATATCTCTGATTAGCTAATTAAATAATGAAATAACAGTTACAAAAATTTTTCAGTGGAGCAGGCTGGAGGGAAAGCCCTACCATGTGTAATGGATGTTCGTTTCGAGACGCAAGTGAGTGTTGCTGTGGACGAAGCCGTTAAAACATTCGGAGGAATTGATATTGTTATTAACAATGCCAGTGCCATTTCCCTGACACCGACTAACTCGACGGATATGAAAAGATATGATCTGATGAACCAAGTGAATAGTAGGGGAACATTTCTCGTGTGAGTTTCTCCCCGAGAAATTTACATTCACAATTATTCATTGTTATTTTTTTTTTAGATCAAAAACTTGTCTGCCTCATCTCTTGAAGAGCAAAAATCCTCATATTCTTAATTTGAGTCCTCCATTGAATTTAAATCCAAGATGGTTTTCAAGTCATCTTGCATATACCATGGCGAAATACGGAATGTCTTTCAGCGTTTTGGGCATGTCAGAAGAATTTAAAGACGATGGAATTGCTGTCAATGCTCTTTGGCCAAGGACTGCCATTCACACTGCAGCTATTGAGATGTTGACTGGAAAGGAGAGCTGGAATTATAGTAGAAAACCAGAGATTGTGGCTGATGCGGCTTATGCTATTATCACGAAGGACAGTAGAAGTTTCACTGGAAAATTTATGATTGATGATATGGTTTTGAAAGAGGAGGGGATCACTGATCTCACTCCTTACGCCTGCAATCCAGGTATTTTTAATGAATGCTCATCAAGCAATATAGTATTGTTTATGTCATTTACTTAAAATTATTCTTTTAAGAATACAAAGACCGATTGATCCTGGATCTTTTTCTGGACGAAGACATCCCTCAGCAATCCGATAAATCTCCATCTGAAAACAAATCGACTGGCGATCGTAATGTCGAAGTTCTCTTCAAAGCCATTGAAGCCAATATATCGCCAGAACTCGTGAAAAATATTGGAGCTATTTATCAATTTAACATGACAGGTATGTCAATTGTGAAATTAACGTAATCCATATGAATTATGATTTATTAAAATATGATTTATTAAAATGATGTTGATTGTCTGACAGGAGCGCAGAAAGGCACGTGGTTTCTTGATCTGAAGAATGGTAATGGGGGTTTTGGTAAAGGCACATCCAATACTCCAGCCGATGTTACACTCACCATGGAGTCAGCAAATTTCTTTGATATATTCACTGGTAAAATGAAACCAGCTACTGCATTCCTCATGGGTAAAATGAAGATTGATGGTAATCTACACATTGCAATGAAACTTGAGAAACTCATGACCAGTCTCAGGGCTAAAATGTAATTGAAGCCCTGTTAGGATAATATTTTTGTTCATGTTGAAATGGTTTGATATTATTTTCTATAATAATTGATAAATTTTTAAAGGTCTGCATTGAAATTTTACATTCATATTTTGTATACAAATTTATATCAATAAAATACTACTTTATACCACATAATCTTACGTATACAGAGGTTTATTGAACTCAACATAATCCCAGTTAAAATTGTTATATAAAAAGTCAACGGTTAGAGATTAGTTCTTTGTTCTTTTTTTTTTTTAGAAAAAATATCTTCACTTCTTCACGTACATGATTCATATAATTATAGCTGATGAATTATCATTGTTGAATATTATAGTTATATCATAAAATTTCTAGTACACGACTATTCATTGATTCTGAGTTAAAAGGCATCTCTCGTACGAGTTAGTTCGTTAAAAATATATAAGAATTCATTTTTTTGGCGAATTCAATAATTTCGTTCGTTCTTTCTCTTCTTCAGTAAAAAATATTCTCGTTATAACAATATCGCCAGTACTTAGCGTTTGACATGAAGCTTCAGAACGCGCAATAGGTGATTTTTTAAAGGCAATTTCTCGACATGTACATTTTGGGCTAGTTATATGGACGGAATCACTGATTAATTTATCACTAGTTGAACAACTAACTGCTGATAAAATGGCTTCAAGTTTATCAATTCTCTCGAAACCATCCATCTGGCCATCTTGGAGAATTTCATCAACCATTTTCATGGTCTCCGTTAGTGATGGAGATTCCATCTTCGATGTTATGTCATTCTGGGAATTGTCAGAGGTGCAACTGTCCAAACTGGGATATTCCTCGTTTTTCTCATCTTCTTCGAAGCAGTCGTCGTCCTCCTCGTCTGAGCTCTCATTTTTGTCTTGCCCCAGGCTCTCTAGTTTCTCTAATTTTTTCGCAACTTTGTAACAACCTTTCAATTTCTCTTTCTCGTCCTCAGTCAACGATAAATATCGAAGTAGGCGAATTTCTCGATTACTCAGAACAATATTCCTCCCAGTCGTCTCCTCCATTCTCTTGCGGAGATCCATTACTTCCGTTTCGATTTTTCGTTGTTTCTTGCGGGATTTCACTTCCGCTGGATTTATATGCGTCTGCACTTGCTCTTCGCATAATTCGGTGAAGAGATGTTGCGTCTCGGGTTTAATTACTCTATAAGGGAATTTATTGTATTATTTTTTAGTTGAAGAGAATCGGGACGCAATACATCGAATATTTAAATTTCATTGTACCTAGACATTGCATTGTATACTTGAGGCACGAGTCCAAGAACATCACTGGTGGCATAGATCAGCATGTCTCGAGACATTGGTCGACGTGACCAGTATTTTTGGTCACGACGATAAATGTACTTTAATTGCTCCTTCAGGGGATTGCATGGGGCTCCATACATCTCACAGAGTGCATTCAGATTAACACTTTTCACTTTGTAAACAGGTTTTCCTATTTCTTGGTACTGAATCACTGCATGTGCTGCCTAAAAAAAAAACACTTGGAGTAATTATCGCAGAATGAAAATTATTCAGAAAAAAATATTTCATTATTTTTCATTTCCAGTACGTTACAGACCTGAGTGTCGAACACATTCTTTAAAACGATTCCAAATTGATTGAATAAATTCGCACTGTCATTTCTGCAATCGTGAATCACCTGTAAATAAAATTCATAATTTACGCGTTGAAATTTTTGGGAATAAAATTGTCTAAATGTGATAATCATACCTTGATGACGTTTGGACTCTCGAGCAATTTACGTAAGCCATTGATTAAATTTGGCGATGTAAACAAATCGAAAATATAAACATAGCCTTGAGCTGTACCGATTTGTATGAGTGTCAATTGACCCTTAGCACCAACATTGATGCCTTCGCAATCGAAGGAAACAACCGTTTTTCCGTCACTCATTGCTCGCTGGGAATTCATAATTTCATCAATAATATGAAGAGATTCTCTAACATTAACGATAACTCTGGTCTGCTGAAAAATTTTCAATTTCCAGGCATCACCGACTTGTGTGCCATGCAAATTTCTGTCCCTTTCTGTGTTATCAGCTAGAGTTTTCATGACTAATGTATTAATCCTTTGCTTGAGTGTTTGTTGCTGCAAACTAACAGGTGGTGAATGAGAACTCGACTCCAGGGAAGATTGATAATCATCATTACAATTATTATCATTGCAATTGATTTGATTCTCCAGGGAATTGAAGTTGCATTGACTCTGTCGTCCAGATGGCACAGAAGGTGAAGCAGTCCTGCTCTGCTGAGAGCCATCATTTTTATCACAATTCTCTTTTCTCTTTCCCTCACTCTTTGTGCCATTATCAGTTGGAAATTTAGGTTTGGCATGAATCGACACGATATTCTTCTGCACATCAAAGGCATCAGGAAACATTTTCAAAAATGTCGTCAAATCCTGGGGAGTACTGAATATCGTCGACCACATGTCCTCAGGGAATTTCGATGCAACACCATTCAATAATTGTTCAACAGTGTTAATACTCTGTTTTTCAATGCACTCAACAAAAAAATCGAGCAATTTTCTGGTTACTTCCTGATCCACTGGGATTTCAGGCTCTAATTCTCTGAATGGCACTGCCTCCATGCCCTCAAAACGTTTGAGTTTAACATTTTCATCGACAACAATGAAATCATCCGGATATTTCAGGAGAAAATCACGAAACTCTCGATAATGTTGACCAGATATGTGTCTAACTTCCGGTGAAGCTTGTGAACGATGTCCAAGTAGACTTTTAAGTGGTACCTCTGCACCATCCCCATACTGCACCAGTTTATTCGTGAAATATTCAACAGCCTCTCGTGCATAATTCCTCTTATTCTTGAGTTTACTTCCCTCGTCCTGCTCAACAACTGGTTGAAAGGTGTTGACAGATACGTAATCCCCATCGATAACAAATAATGTTGGATATTGAGCTAGAAATTTTCGTAAACCACTCTGCGAGCCCCCAGCAATCTGTCTCATCTCCTTGGTAAAACCTTTAGCCCCAAATTGACAGCTCAAATCGTGAAGCGTACGTGGCCCACCTTTGTCCATTAAACGTTCAAAAAAGAAGAGAAGTGTCAAATTACGGACCAACTCGTACTCCGAGCTCTCCATATTTAAGGTAATAAATACTGAAAACTAAATAATTCTCTGTCAATGTCAGCATTATATTTTACTGTTACATATCTTTTATTTATGTAACACTGTCTTGGGAAATATTTAAATTAGATTCAATATAGTCGAGAAAAAAACTGAAATACCTTTACGATTGAGGCCTAAACCTATTCCCCTTCATCTCCATACGCAGAACTTGATAAATTATTTAATTAATGGTAACATTTTTTCAAACTGAGACTCTTTGTTCATTAAATTTCTCTATTTCAATTCAGGGGAATTGAATGAATGCTCGAGGTAATTATACAGTACTCGTGGGTAGGTTAACTGATGTCTGGTTATTTCTTTCATCAAGAAATTCTTTCGCAGCCCCACATTCCAAATTCACTTCCCTGCACTTGCTGTAACTGTACGCAGGTAACACGTGATACCGTGATAAGAGATTTCATTGGATGAGATTGAAGATAGCGAGCCAATGGGAGTTCACGTGATGGGCAGTGCTCGTCCCTAATTTTCACCAGATTCACTAGGATTGGAAGGATCTTATCCGAGGTACGTGGCTGGATCAATTAGAATTTGAGTCCAGGTGACAGCAACAAGTCGTCACATCCATTTTTCAAAATTCAGGTAAATTCTCTAACCCATCACGTCCTGTTCCACTATCTCGATATTTAAACAATATCGATACATGGTATCGATACCATTATATCACCTCGATTAATATCGATTAGCGAACATCGATATTCTTTAATTATGAATTCAATGGAAATTAATAAAAAAATTATTATTAAATTATTCACTTTTTCCGGAGATAATTACGTCAATCAATAATAATAATCATCATCATCACCATTATAATAATAATCATAATGTGAATTGGAATTTATTTATACGAACTTAAAAATCCCTCTCACATGCTGTCTCTCTTTATGGAATATTTAATTGATTTTTCGGATTCATGGGAGGCATTGGTTTTTTGTTATATATTTGTACATTTTTTTTGTATGAATTATAAACAATAGTGTAGATATAATAATAGTTTGATCCACTTCTGCGCGTGACTAGTTTCGGGCAAGTATATTGATGCAGTAGTGTGCAATCTCTGCAGTGGCCTCTGAATATTGTCAGTCCCTGTCAATTATACCTTGATTCCACCCAAAAACACAAAGCGAAAAGGTAAAAATTCCACATTTATATAAAATTATTGATAAAACTCTTTCATCAAGTGTTTCATCGAAAATCATCAGCAATTGTGCTTTACACGCTTCTGCATTCAAATTTTTAACAGAAACGCTCGGACGAAAGATCTATTTTATTTTTTGGTAATTCAATAATTGTCAGAAAGTCCAAGAGCAATTTTATCTGTAGAGATTATCGGAAGATTGGGCATTCGTTTTTAATGAGATTATCTAGTTGTACGTTATAAAATTTCAAGGTAACACATCGGTGAAAAAAATTATTATGTTCAAGGCTTATTACTGGTATAGTGCGCGAATTATTGTTGTACAGTGGGCATGCGCATAGATCATCGGCTCTTCACTCTTGAAATCAATGATTTCGAAATGTTGGGGAGACAAGACATTTTATTTTTCAATTTTTACCGAAACGTTTGAACAGAGTTAGCGAGCAATTAAAAAATCTGGCATATCCTGTGTTTATATTTCTCTGGATTCTGCTAATAAAAGGTTGAAATTTCATACTAAAAGGATTTACAGCTGTTACATAACTAGTGGCCCATTTACTAGATTTCATTTATTTTCGGAAGTGAGACGTACATAAAAAAGAAGAGAAACCCATGGGCAAAATATAATATAATCTATATTAAATCTTCTGCATGCCATAATACGCTAAGAAAATTTTAAAAAATATAAAAAAATATATAGAAAACACGTATTCTCAATTTTTCTTATTTACTTCCGGCCATTATAATATATTTTTTATGTATTCATATATTTATTTCATATAATTTTATTCCGTAAAAAAATATTGGTGAATAATTATAAGAAGGTTTTAATAAATTTTCTCACATTTTTCGCTTTGAAATAGGAGAATCGCTATTTCTATTTATAATCTAGACTATATCTTTGTGATTTAATAATAAATACGTCAACAAATGGTTTAGAGGTGTCTCCACACTAGATATTGTTCACAGGAATGGTAGAAATGAAGACAATCTGGGTGATAGGTGGTCCCGGTTGTGGAAAAGGTACGCAATGTGATAAAATAATAGCCAAGTACGGACTTCTGCATTTGAGCAGTGGAGATCTACTCCGAGAGGAAGTGGCAAGCGGCAGTCCTCGAGGTGCTTCTCTTCAAGAACTCATGTCGAAAGGTCTCTTTGTGCCCACGGTAATCGAAAAATTCATAATTCACACCTTCAATCCCTAAAAATCCATAATTCCATTACCGATTTATTCTTAATTTATTGTTAACGTTCGCCAGGATGTTGTTCTCTCTCTCATCAAGGAGCGAATGGAAAAAGCACGAGCTCAAGGAGGAAATCGTGGATTCCTCATCGACGGATATCCCAGGGAACTCGATCAAGGAAAACAATTCGAGAGAGATGTAAATCTAATTTTTATCTACTCATCAATTATTTCAATTAGTCAATGAAATTTCTTTGTGTTTCTTTCGAAGGTTTGTCCAGCTGATTTAATCATCTTCTTTGATGTTGCTGGTGATACTATGAAAACTCGATTACTGGGACGAGCTGCTGTGTCTGGAAGGGCCGACGATAATGAGGCGACAATTATCAAGAGAATCGAAATATTTAACGTGAAAAACGGAGAAATCGTTGATCATTACAAAGATAAAGTCGTTCGCGTAAGTTTTTGATTGGATGTCGCAACGAATTATAATTATAAGAAAATATAAAAATTATATTCTTAACTGATGACGCAGATAAACGCTGAAGGTGCAATTGACGACATTTTCGCGGAAGTTTCCAAAGCTTTGGATCCACTTTTCGCTTCCTGAATTTATCGAATCGTTTCCTGATCCCTCACTGGCAAAAAAAAACTGGAAAGGATACCTTGAGCACAACTGGAGTGATTATCGAGACAGATCAGTATCAAAAGTGTACATCGAATACAATTTGAAATATCCGGCAGTGACTTCCTGTAATTGCACCAGAAACAGCTGCTCAAAGTTTCAACAATCTATTGTATCTGTGTACATAAATTTAAAAAATTGCGCTCTCTCACTCGTCGTTCAAAAATTGTGTGAACACTTCTATTTTTCCATGATAAATACATTAAATGCAATTTCAATCGTTCACCGAGGCAATGATTTCAATTATTCTTCCAGCAATTCTATTAATCAATTTCTGTGCACCTGCGTTTATGACATATTGTGAAATCATGAGCGTTTTATCACCGAGGTATGAATTAATGAAGTACCGAGTGCGATCTCAGAATAAAATATTAATCAGACGACAAATTCCGACGTTCGACGAGTGTCTGGCTTTTACTGTGGCGAAAAAGGGATTGGCTTTCAATTATTCCCGGGACCTGAGAAATAAACACTCCAGTGAAATCGATATTAATCGATTCAACTGTCAAGTACTGGCGTGTCCAGAGGTCGATTCTTCCGGTTCACTAGTTGAGGACAAGAAATTCAATTATTACAGTTCATATCCCCGAAAATTAATGCTCGGTAATTAATTATTTTGATGTTATAACAGCACATGATATTTATTCATTGCTGTCGTAGGAAATAGAACGGCAGTATGTGTGCCGACAATTGGATTATTTGTGCATATCGAAAAGCCGGATAATTATACAAGTGCTCAATTAACTTGTGCCAAATTCGAAGGCAAATTGGCAAATATCATGAGTGCAGAGAGGACGGCTGGGCTATCACCATTTCTTTATTCCGAAAATCCTGTTTACGTGGGATTGAGTAATCGAGGCGAAGAGCGATATTGGAGGAATGAATTTGGTAAACGAAATAAATAAGATTTTAATCTGTAGTAATTTTATGCTTTGCGATTCTCTCTCTCTCTTTGCGTAATTTTTTTATCTTCCCATGAGATTATTATTGAATTAATCTCTTGACAATTAGGAAATAAACTGGAGTGTTCTGATGACCGACGATGGGCCGAGGGAGAGCCGTCATCACGAGGATGTGTAGCCCTGATTCGTGCCAACTTTCATGGGAACAATCACACCTTTTGGAAGGTATTCCCATGTCATCGAAAATTCTCATTCATCTGTGAAATATCGCCGAGATATGAACCAGATCTGTTTTTAAATAAACTACAAGCCACCATTCACATTAAGGCAAAGAAAAATTTATTTCACTGAAATATTTACACTTTTTTTTTTCGATTTCTAGCCTGCGAACATGAGGCCCTTTGTCTCTCGATGCACTTTTTTAACGTTTAAAATAAAGTTAATGAATTAATTTGTGCGAGACAATTGATAGTAATATTTACATGATTTTAACATGATATTTATTGTGTTTATTTCACTCTTGAAATAATTAAAAACTATGGTAATATTTCTTTTCTCAATTTTTGAATCTCCAAGGCTCAAAAATGTCTTTCTCATTAAGTACGTAATAGATAATTTGAAAGTACCATGGATCAAAATTATTTCCTCTTATCTACATTTTAAATATTCTCACTCAATTATATCTGTTAAAGATAATCAGACGGATAAAAATACTAGCAGATGCTGCCCTTTGTTTTCTGTTTTCTGTCTTGTGTTTCGTTCTATTAAAGTGGTAATCAATACGGCGCGATTAAGCGCATGCTAATGCATACGAGCAACTCTTCTACCCAATTTCATCAATCTGTTGGATCGTTATGTCTTTTGGGAGAATTATAAAAGTACAAAAAATATGAAATTGATCGTAGTAATAAATAATTGGTTTCTACTCAGATAAAAATTACTGTTACCCATTAAACCATTGGTGGATGGGAGGGAATAATCACAATAAAATGATCCAATTCAATATTGAATTCTTCAGGTCACAGTTATTTACTTTTGTTCCTTATTTTTTTTTTGGTTTTAAAAAATGTGAAAATAGAAATGCCGTGGGTATGTTCATGGAAATAAATCTAGGGCGCTTTCAGTCGATAAATTCTACTGCACTTTAGCACCATATCAACCACAAAAAGCAGAGATACATCTGAATGTTATTTTCCTTTTCCTTCAATTTTTTGTATAATATATATATATGTTTTTTCATTAATTTCATATTTCACTCTGTACAGTCTTGGAATCCCCTGATAAGCTGATTCAATAGTATACTTAGTCACTAGGCCGTTAGAAATTTTTCTAACGATTGAATTTACGATCCGACGTGATTGTATCGACGAATGTAAACACAATCGTTGGAAAATATTGTTCGTCACTCGGTCGAAAAGAGCTTTCCTGACGATTGGGTTTAAAAGCCAGAAAAGTTTCACCGACCCAGTGAGGAAATATATTATTTCGGCCGAGTGACGAGCAATATTTTTTGTCATTCAGTCCGCATGCAGGATTTTACGACTGCTCAGCGGTCCTCAAGCACTGCCTCACGGACTGAGTGACAAAATATATCTTATCATGCGTTATATTTTCCGAAACCAAATAAAATTTATTGGCACCACTTGATTATTAATGAATAAAATTTCTTCTCAATTCGTCATTTGCATGAAAAAAAAAAACGGATACAAACATACAAGGTTATATTCCTTTTTAAGTACTTCTAAAAATGCTATCAGTGTCAAATGCGTTAAATGCAATTATTACAAATTCCAATAGCTGGCTATCGAAGGAAACAACATAATAAAAAAAAAACTTTTTCGAAATTGGCAGTGCCTGTTTACGAGAAAATATCTCATCACCAGTGATTTGTGGAATGTTGCGTTTAAAAATATAGTACGAATCGAACTATTCCAATAACAATATTGAAAATACTGGTATAAATTGTGTAACAGACCGTTACCTCATACTAGATGTTTGATAATGAATAAAGATTACTTTTTAGCTGCAAACTATTTGAATTATTCATTTCGCTGAGAAAATATATCTCAGTCTGGAATGTTCTGAACAAAAATATTCATGAAATTTTATACTGAATTAATGCTTATTGGTTGATGTACTCAATTGTTCGGACAGTTGTGCAACTGTTCGTTGTAATACCGTATGCTTTTCCTCTAATGCAGTTACCTGCAACAAGAAGACAGAAAAAAAATTGAATTATATAGGGAGACAATAAATCAATAATTAAATTGACTGTAACAAATTTCTTCTACTTAACGAACAAAAAAAAACTCACTCTATCTAAAAGTTGATTGTAAAGCCGATAGGGTACGTAGGCTGGAGTACTGCCAGTATTGGGTGATACAGGGCACGTCGGATGACTTGATTCGGGCCTCTGACTGGTATCTTTCTCCTTATCCTTATCTTTCTCCCTCTGACGTGCCTCCACATTGTCCTGACCCGTTTTAATGTTCGTCTCAGGAATACTGGACGGCATCGATAGTATTGGTGGTTTTGACGCCCTTTGCTCTTTCTTTCTCTCGATTTTTTCTGGCTTCTCTGGGGGGAAGACTTTGCGTTTCTCCATTTGATTCTGTTTCAACTCCTCAATCCAAGGAGCTATCCTTCGGGATTTACCCACAACAACTCCGTCATTATCCTCTTCTCGGAATTGATCTACCGTATCTGTCGTACCATTCGTTCCATTATCATCCTGAAATAAATATGTATTTATAGCATAATCAATTTTACTGATAAGATATCCAAGTTTTTTATTATTGATTCATTAATTTATCAATCAAACAGATATTTCACTTGAATAATTATGACGTTTGTTGGAGAGAATGTCACGGGAGCAGTACAACAGAGAATATATTACCAGAACGGTGGGTCCCGGGGGGGTAATAACAGCTCCAGTGAAATTTCCCCCTTGATTTCTGAAATGTTGACTGGATGGTAGACGCCTACGTGGTGCTCTGGCTCGTGATGCTGTGAGATGAGACAATGGTGCACCCTCACCACGTTCAACCCCATCCAATTCTTCACCCAACCCACCCTCACTGCTCTCAGCACTTTCCACATTACTATCACTTGGTTTCTCCACCATTCTCTTCAAGCTTGACATAATCATAGACTTCTTATCACTAGTTGTTACCGAGTTGGTCTGTGTCGACGACATTGAAGAGGACGACGAGGACATTAAAGAGGAAATAGCTGAGGATGCTGTCTTTTTGGAATTGTCATTTGTCCCTCGTGAGTCCAAGCTTTTTCGTACATTAGCCTTTTCTCCTTTCTTCCCAGTGTGGGAGCTCTTCAAGCTGCCGGATTTACCCATTGGCTGACTTGACTCCTGCCAATAGTCCTGATTCTGTTGATTATCAGGCTTGGAGCCCATTACAGTGACAAAATTGTCAGGAAAGAGACCGACTCGTCCATTCAATTCACCTTTCCACCAACCCTGCCGGAAAATAATTTATTAAGAGGTAAATGCGTGGGCTAACTCAAACCACTGGTATTAACTCACCTTATCAGGCGCATCACGTGACAGGAGAGTGACAACATCTCCCTCATCGAGCGTCAATTCATCATCATTACTAGCCTTATAAGGAAAAAGTACTCTGCATAATTCTTTAGTTTCTCTATCGCTGTCGTCTGGCGTAGGTGGTGTAACAAAATTCGATGGAAATACACCGGTGCGTCCCCTCAGTCTTCCCCTCCACCATCCCTCCTCCACCTCACCGAGAAATTCAACGACATCCTGGGGTACAAGTGCAAGTTCATCTTCATTGCATGGCTCATAACTGAACAGCACTTTGCAGCATCTTCTCCCAGATGAGCCATTTCTCAGGGTCACCTCCTCGGTGTCACTCTTTGATAAAGTCCCATTGCCACTTGGAGATGGTGTCAAAAGCTAAAACATGACAATTTGCATGTCAAATTGAATCCTGGAAACTGGAGTTCCATTGTGACTCTTAAAAACAGCAAGACTCGTTTATTATAACGTAGAGTTCTAAAATAATTGAAAGAATCTCATCGAAAATTACCTTGACAAAATTATCGGGAAACATGCCGCACTTATCCCTGAGGGTGCCTTCCCACCATCCTCCTGCTATTATTTTAATATCTTTAATGATGTCCCCTTTACGCAGCGTTAACTCATCAGACTCCTGCGCCACATAGTTGTACTCCACAATAGCCTCCATTATTTTCCAACGTATGAATTTTCAATGCCAATAATTCAGGTACCCCTGCTGTGGTCCCAATTACCGAGATTGTCTCACATCTCAAAAAAAAAAAAAAAAACAAATGTGAAAACACGAAACTCCTGAATTTTCTATTGTACCAGATACTGGGGCACTTGATTTTATGGAATTAGCACACGTTTCGGTGATAATCAGTGAAATTTATCATTTTTCCAGTGGATTTTGACGTACTGATGTATATTTTACTTCGAATAGCTGATGAGTGATAACATCCAGGGATAAACCAGAAGAGATAGATTTCTTTATTGTTTCAACTGTACTGACAAATTGAGGATATTTGACAAGATAGCCTCTAAGCATGAAAGCGGTCAAGCTTTCTGACGAACAACTGAGATCTCCATCCATTTGAGGTGTTAACGAACTGTAATAAACACATAATTGTTCCACTTACCGAGTATATTATAATTTAGTATGTTCTTCCGATAAAATGAGTACACGGTGAATTTTAGGCGTATCCCAAGCCGATTTGACAGTGGCTCAAATGTGTCACCGACGCCATATTGAAATTTTCTTCCTTCAATAGATTGTGGAACCCACGAATCGGGTGAAATGTTTTCCTGTGTTATCTACCAAAGATAAGAGGATTATTTGAGTTTGAGTGACCCCCGCGGCATCGTAGTATGCACCCCAAGAGAGGGAGGGCGCCACACGCAATGCTGGGGTGTTTTTTTTTTATTAAACCAAGTTTTTATTGCAATGCTGGGGTGTCCATCAAATCGACGGGGTGAATTTTATTTTCTGCTGTACGAATGCTTTTTGTTTTTCATTTGTTTAACTGAAATTTAGCCGACTGTAGCACGTACGGAAGGGTGAAACCACATCTTATGGAATTTCAATGAAAAAAATTATTCAATGTATTGAATATATACCACTAATGAATTTATATTTTTAAATAAGCGCGTTGTCCTAGCGGTAACGTGCTCGACTGGCACGCCGGCGGCCCGGGTTCAATCCCGGCATCATTCATTTTTTTTTTTTTTCAAAATAATTCCAATTTTACCTTTTTTTAATTGGCTAATCAATCTAAATATCGTTTATACACTGAATTTTTGAAAAGCGGAAAGATATCCTGTGAAATTGACAAGTTAACAATTTTTTAAAACGATACTTTTGCAAAATATATACTTCTAATGAAATTATTTTATTGTAATGGTGCGTTATCCTAGCGGTAACGTGCTTGGCTACCACGCCAAGGGCTGGAGTTCGATCCCGTCAACATTCATTTTTTTTTTTAAATAATTCCTATTTTCTTTTTGTAAATAATTAACCCTTAACGAGTACATTTAAACCTAAACCAAATCCAATTAACCCTTAACGG